TTTTCTTCTTGAATGGTCTGTTCTTCCTGCAAGGGTGCTCACCTGAGATGTGCTGTGGTATTTGCCAAACAAGATAGGGTTGAGGCAGCGGAGAGCCTGATCTGCTCTGGACACTGTAGGACGCCTCCATCCTGGCTGGGATGCCAGGATGTAGCATCTCCCCTCAACGGCCCAGGGAGAAAGGCTGTCTACCTGTCCAGTCTGCAGAGCTGGACTGGAAAGCAGTCAGCCGAAAGCTCCCTCAGACTCATGTGTAAAGCAGGGTAGCTGGTGGAATCACCCAGGGGATGCGTGAATGTCCTCAGTATCTGACTCAGGAATGGAAAGTTCTGGAACACTGGCAGTTTCCACAGTGAGACTGCACCTAGGACCAAGGTGTGTGTGAGGCTTTCGGAGCAGCAAAACCCACAGCTCCTTCCTGCACGTGCTCACAGCCCCACCCTGCTGCACCCACGGCCCCAGACACTTAGACCAAAGTGTGCTGTGGTTTTCACATCCTCTGGGAGCCACAGACTGCAGGTGCTCTTGGCAGCTCTCCAGGGAGCCAGTTCAGCCCCCCAGCAGGGAGAGCCCCTCACCGGGGTGTGGGCAGGAAGAACATTCAGGGCTGCGGGGCTGGCCCTCGCTGGCTCCATTTTTGAAGGGACACCCTGTGAAGAAACATGGATGCAAAGTTGGAGGCAGGAGCTGGACCGCTTAGGATGAGTTAGTAGTGGGTCAACAGGAAGACGGTCAAAGGTGTGAGGAATGACAGCCAGATGGAGAGACAGACACACTGCTCAAGAGGGGGTGGACAGATACCTCTATGAAGCTAGCTGCTCGGTCTGCTCCCAGTTTTATCCCTGCCCTACACACAACAGGTGCTTAATAAAGTTTTAATAAAGCCTGGATTGTAGCTCTCTTATTTCCAGGATCTCAGGCTATGAACTAGATGACTCTAGACACGGTTGGTGAGGGATGTCTTCTGGCTGGGAAGAGCTGGTCAGCTGCTGATGGGCACTGCATGAGGCCTTAGGAAGCCTCACCTAAGACCAGAGTTGCTAGTAAGGTTCTCTGGAAGGATGGGGGCTTCACACCACACTCCACAAGAGTGCACAGTCATTGATGTCCAGGCTTTGCCCGTCTTGGCTTTGAGGGGATGGGGCTATCCCTTGGGCAGGGTGAGCCGGGCCTGTCTGAGATCTGTCACGGAAGAAATCCAAGAGGCAAACCTCTAAGCAAATACCCATGGGGGTCTGCCACTTCCCTAGCTCTGGAGACAGGGTACTAGACTCCTCCCCCTAGACCCTTGGCCCCGCCCCCCAACCCAGACCGCTGTGTATTCAAGGCAGACATGTGACCTGAGCTGCTTCATGCTTTTCTCTGTAGCAGTGCTGGGGCTAGAACCCAGGACCTCACAGATGCCAGGCGGGTCTTCTATGACTGAGCTAGCATCCCTTGTCACCCTTCTACTTTTCCTATTTTGAGTCAGGGTCTACGTTGCCTGGGCTAGTCTTGAAGTCTTGATCCTCCTGGCCCAGCTTCTGACCCCCCAGGCCCTACTGTTCCTCTGGGAACACAGAGCTACCGGGAGGAGCTACGCCTGGAGCTGCCGGGTCGGGGATGGGGGAGCAACAGGAGAGAACAGCTGGCCTGAGGCGCTGAGAGGTAGAACCTGGGAGCTTCTGGATCGAGCCGCGCCTGACTGAGGCACATGAGTGTAGTCAGTAGTCATGGTGCGCTTCACAGGTTCCAGTGTTTGGCCTTCTAGGCATGTCAACATCCCGGCCTCATAGGGTCAGAGAAGATGCAAGCAGAAACAGGAAGTCATCCTGTCTGATGGAGCACTTAACCTGGGAGCCATAGTGCCTCCTAGTCATCTTCCGGTGCCATGGGCATCGGTGGTGACTGAGCTGGCCATCTGTGATGCTCCCTGCCTGAGGACAGGACTGAGTTTCCTGTACCTGTGACAGTATGACATGTGAGCCCCCAATGAACTCTTGTCATTTGATGCTGCTGAGGTGTGACTCTTACACAGCACACCCCACCTTGTCCTGACCCAATGGACCAGCTGACATCTCCCATTTGTGTGTGTAAGCTGGTTTGAGGTGGGTTCCTGTTGCTGGTGGCAGGAAGCGCTCTAGCATCCTAACAACTCACAATGAAAAGACAACTCCCATCCTAAGGACCTCAGGGAGAGGAGAGGAGGGGCCGGGGGCATGGTTCACAGGCACAGTGCTTGTGTGGCATTCAAGCCCTGAGGAAGGGGGATGAAAAGGACCAGGGGCCAGGCAGGGTTGCTTAGAGCTGTTTATGGCCTCACACTGAGCGGGCCTCTGACAGCAGGTGGCTCTCCTCCTCTGCCCTCCCAGATCATCTTGAAAGTCACATTGCCTCTGCCAGGATCCCAGCAACCTCCCCCAGTGTCTCCAGTGCATTCCTACTGTGACGTGGGTCTCCCAGGGTCTCAGGCAGGAAGGAGACAAGGGGAAATAAAACCCACCTCTCCCCCTGAGAACAGAAGCCCCAGGGAAGGACTCCCCAAGTCCACTGAGCCCCCTGCGAGCTGTGTTCCTCTTGGCCTCCCCATTGGATGGAAAGATCCTTGTGTGGGGAGCTGTGCTACCTGGATGTGGCTGACACTCACCAGGCCGCACAGCCCACCGCGGCCCATCCAGCCTGACACACCACAGGAAGCAGGTGGAGGACTCCCAGAGAATGAAGGGGCAGCCGGTGATGAGCTTTGCCTCCTTGTGGCTGCAGCTCTTCCTGCAGGTGCACAGACTGATGACTAGCTGGAGAGGAGCCCTGCTGTCTAGAGCCATCCACGTGCGCAAAGGTGTCAAGGACACGGTCCAGGTTGCATGTCACCTCCGTGTGACAACTAACTGTGGTGGTGGTGGGGCCTTATTCCCAGCTGCAGCACACACCTGCCTGGCTTTGTTCCCCAACACACAGGTTAACAGAACCCACCTTGGACTTTGCTGCCTGCCTGTCCCTATCCGTGGGGCCAGGACTGAAGTTGCTGTGTGTCAGAGCCCAGATGGGGCAGGGTTCAGAACAGACGCTCAGTATGGGAAGGGAATGAACGGAGGGATGGCAGAGGGGAGAAACGGCCCTCACAGGACCTGCAGAAGACATGAAAGGGGGCAGGGTTCCCAGGAAGCTTGTGGAGGCCAGGACTACTCATCTCTGTAACCCCAACCATGTGACAGCCTGAGGTCCTGTCCCCAACAATTTGGAAGTTTCTCTTTCCCTAGGTAGGAACTTTTGTCGTGTGCTCTTCTTCAGTGAGCATGGTGCTGACTCGCCTTCCCTCCGCCACAGGTGCTGTGGAGGGGGCTGAGGCAGGCAGCCTGACGGGAAAACCATCACACCTGCCCTACCCCCAGCTCCTAACTTTGTAGAAGCTGTTTTAACCTTGTGGGCCCTCAGTTTCCTCATACATGAAACAGGCACACAGTCATGTGACGCGAATTCTCTGTAGTGTCCAGAATGGCTGTGTGCTGTTCTCAGTAACACCATTTTTACAGGAAGTCACGCGGGCCCAGGGAGGTTTCGCAGGTTGCTGCTGCCCCCTGCTGCTGAGCAGGAGTCATTGACAGCTTTCCAGCTCTCAGCTGTGGGTGTTGAGGCAGTTGGGGCAGTTGAATTCAGCAAGGCCTGAACTGGCCCCTAACAGCAGGTGGCCTTCCTCCTCTGCCCTCCCAGTTTAATCAGCAAGGCCTGAACTCCAGCCCCGAGTGAATGGGATCACTTTGGGCACTGTGGGATGGTGAGAGATACCCACGCCCTGTATGGCCTCTTCCTGGAGTCTTTGTAACTGGTGGCTTACCATTCCTTCTATTTGAAATCGGAACTTCTCAGCAGCCCAGTAGTTCTCTGGTTTCTAGCTGAAGGCCTCCTTCCTCCTGTCTTCCCCTGGGACTCTGGAGTCCTCTTGACTCAGCAGCCTGCTGTGGTTTCTGGAGATCTTTGTGCAGCATTTGGAAAGGCTGCTGCTACCTAGCTGTTTGGGTGGACAGTCTGAGGGTGGACGGACAGGCAGATGGATGGATGATTGGGTGGGCAGACAGATGCATAAATGGATGACAGATGAAAGGACATGAACTGGTGGCTACAACCAAGAAGTGAGGGGCTTTGGGAACAAGTGTTCAGATAAGCCTTGAATCTGCTTGAGTGTACCCTCAAACCCCACGTCCCCTCCCTAGACACGCTTTCCAAATGGTCCATGTAGGAGGTCTTGGGGAAGACGGGTACTGCCAAGCTGAGTCCATGCTTGGTGCCCTTCAGCTCCCCAGGCCTCCCATCTCAGCCGAGACCTGGATGTACGGCAGAACCTGGCTGCTGGCTTCCAGCTCGCGTGCAGTGTAACAGGCAGGGTCTGCTCCTGAGCCCAGCACCTTCATTGCCTCACGTTTTCCCAGAATGTTACCCAGGTCAGTTTTACACTGTTGCAGCGTGTCTGTGCTCGGCTCTCTGTCTTGGGCCCATCCTCACCTCTTTTCACAGGGGTGTGGCTTATAGTGACCAGGGCAGTGACATGGAGGATGAGACAGGCTGCAAAGCTGGGTGAGGCCACCAAGTGCCCTGCCCTTTAAGTAAGCAGGAAAGGTGGACAGGGAGGGGCCCAGGACTGAGGAGGCTCAGGCCAGCTGTGGTGAGTGGTCTGTGGCTCTCCTGACAGTCATGAGGGCAAGTCTTGCTGCTAAGACTTGCTTGAATTTTTCAAAAAACAAGATGAAAATCTAAATTTTCTTTCTCCCATAAGGTGAAAACTCAAGGTTTTTAACCACTGCCAAGAACAAGTTAAATGTCTTGCTCGAGAACCCGCAGGGACCAGATCCTCCCAGGCAGGGCTAGGAGCTGCTCAAGGACGCCATGCTGCCCTCCCCAGGGCCAATGATTACCTCCCTCTCCAGGAGCCACCAACTTGGGCACCCACACTTGGCTGGGCCACAGCTGGAAAGTAGGGGAATCCCTTGGGGACCAACCATCATTAGGCAAACACATAAAACTAATGCATTTGATCTCACTTTAATTAAAAAATAAATAAATACATGCCAGGGGCTTGTATCTAATGAGAAAAGAGCAAAATAAAACAACAAAACAAACAAAAGCAAAACCTATAGGCCTTGCTTCTGGCAGGAGGGGTCCCCATGAGAGTCAGAGGCCTAGGCTTGGTTCAGCCCAATTGGGATGTCCTACCTAGAGAGGAGCAGACTCTGCTAGGTATCCCTGTGGCGTGCCTCCACAAAGCCCTTCCTCTCTGAGTCTGAATGGTGTCGTGGGTTCCAGGTGACCGAGGGCTTGGCCATCAGCTCTGCTGCCCAAACAATATCCACCCTTGCAGACACTGCTGATGCTGGAGCCTGAGTTCAGAGCAGGACATGGGCCTGCAGGAAGGCTGGGCACCTTGGAAGCAAGAGCCACAGAGTGGAGGGGACTGAAGTCACCTGGCAGCTGCTACAAGCGGGCTAGGCCCACCAGAGATGTAGTAACATCATTGTGAGGGATAGGGCTCTGGGGTAGTCCAGGGCGAGCTACAGAGCATGGGCAGAGGCTCCTCCACTGGCCCGGGGCAGCATCTATAAGTGGATCCACTTATTCCAGTTGACATCGTGGGGGAAGACACGGCCCAGGCGGATGGTACAGTCCAGCGTAGGCTCATAGAAGGTGACGGTGCTCTCGGGGTAGGAGAGTGCCTCAGCCTCACCGGCCTGGCCCAGGCCCTCCACCACAGGCTTGGAGAAGAGTGAGACGACCGCTGGCTTCCTCAGCAGGCGCTTCTGGATACAGCCGAGAGACTCCAGGCCCTGCAGATACAGACACGTGGGGTCACACAGGTGCTGCCCCGCTTGCCTGGGGACCTGGCCTTGTTACGTTTATCAAATCCACACAGCTGTCCCCAGGCAGAAGATGGCCAAACATGGCCTTGAGGGGAGGCAGGACTTAGCAGGAAGGTTTAGGTCAAGATGGGCAGGAGGAAGGATGGCAGGTATGGGTCTCACAGTGACAAGGACCTCTGGAGGACAGACAGGTACTCTTCAGCCACCAAAGGCTTCCCACCACCTGTTGGCCCCACATGAAACTCTGCCTGGAATGACTGCTAGGAAGTTCAGGGAATGTCACACTAGGTGTCCAGTTCCTTGTGTGCTAGGAAGCTGGGGCCCAGGGCACCATGGGAATGGGAGCTCAGGGCAGCCACCAGCCCAGGCTGGGAAGCAGCTGGTTGTGGAAAGTAGTGGTCACATGGTCCTCAGTCTTGTGTAGCATCCCATTTATTTAGGTTCCTGAGGATCTGTGCGCATGTGACCCCAAGTGAGTCTGGAGGACCACAGCAGGGCAGGTAAGACAGAGCAAGGGCAAGTGTTCCCAAGGGACAGGGAGCCTGCTGCAGGGGCGGGCTGCAGCAGGCCGAGGGAGAAGGGGTCAAGAGCCAGGCAGGGCCTCAGTGACAGTAGCAGACCCCTCTGCCAATGGAAGAAGGCACTGAAGGTAAGCTGAGGTGGTGATACCGGGGTGTAGCCTTCCACGGACCTGATCCCCCATGTGCCCCACCCCACAGCTGGGCTCAGCTGCCCTGGGCCCTACCCGGAGCAGCTCAAGCACGGCAACGGGCTGCAGGACCCCCTGGTAGTACTGCAGCAGGCAGCTCTCAGGAACCCCGGGCCTGGACATGATGTGGTACAGCACGGCTTCCATCATCCCTTTGCACACGGGCATATTCAGGCGCCCATCCACACCACGCCAGGGGCGGCCAATGAAGCACACTCTTTCGCAGCCACTGTGAGACGGACAGTGACATCAGAGACTGAGGGGACATGACGGTCACAGACAGGCTACTCTGGCTCAGGGAGGCCCAGGACTTGGCCACTATCTGCCCACGGCTCTCCAGCCTCTACTTGCTCCCTGGCAGGGCAATCTCTGGCTGAGTGCAACTGTAGCCTAGACCAGGGGCTCCTGCCTGCTGGCTCACTCACAGATCTCCCCACACAGCAGCTCTGCCTCTGGCACAAAGCGGACACTAGCCCAGGGTTGATGGGCTGTATGGGGCAGGTCTTGGTAGCTCTGGCAGCCATGGCTGAACCCTGGGGGCACATCCAGGGTACACAGCCTTGGTGGGCTGAGGCCACATACACATGGAGGGAGAAACTTCTGGAGGGTCTCTGTGGGCCCTGACCAGGGAGGGCCACTGCAGGTGCCTCTTCAAGGCAGAAAAAGTGCAGCCCTTCTGATATGCCATCTCTCAGCTACAGGATTGAGCGGCTGCCCTGGGCAGGCAGCTCTGAGTTCTGGTTAATGTGGTCACAGGCTGGGTATGAAGGCCCTCTCCTCATCTAAGATGGGTGTGAGGGTTCTGTGGGCCGTGGGAGGAGGCCCAAGAGAGGACCGATGAAAGTCCTTGGCTGGGAACCTCTGTTCAGGGCAAACTACCCTACCCAGGCTTGCACCCTATGAAGGAGCCTCATCCAGTGATGGACACTAGGCCACTAGCCTGGAAGCTGAGGTCACACTTTCTCCACACTCTGCCCTTCTCTGTCAAAGCCTCCCATTACCTCTCCCATGCTGCTTGGGCCATGTTGCTCTCTGTAAGTCCTGGAAGAGAGGAAAATGTGGCAGACTCTTAGAAGGCAAAGTGGGAGGTCATGTCCCTTGTCCCCATTCAACAGGTACCAAAGTGGATAAGCAGCGACCAGAAAGATAGCCTTCTACCCAGCGTATGGTACTCTAGTGGCTGAGGCCAGTACACCACAGATGTTGCCAGTACGTGGCAAGTGCAGAGCTGATCCTGGCCCAAGGGGACCCTGGTACAGTGAAGTCAGTAAGTACCTCATTTCCCAGCCAGGAGCCTTGACCACAGGGTAGAGTGTGTAATGCTCTCAGGCAACAACAGCTCATGGGAGAAGCAGCAGATCTCAAAGGGAAATCCCCTGCCCCTGGGCAAGGCTCAGATGCTTCTAGGAATAAATGTTCTCTGTCTAGAGAACCTCCCCAGTCACCACAGCAAACCCGGTGCTCCCACCCCCAGGCTCTCGAGGCACGGTCCTGTAAGCACACCCACTGAGGGCAGGGCAGGTTCCCAGTTACAGACAGGGCCAGAGCAGTCAAGCGAGGGACAGAAAATAGGGAGAGGTGTTGAGGTCAGTACCTCGGGGGTCTTCAGAGCCTTCTGGAAGCTGGAACTCACAGCCCAGCTGCTCCAGGCCGGAACCACCAACACTCTCTTGGTTCTCCTGCCTGGGGATCTCTGCACCTGCGTCCTCAGGAGGCGCAAGCAGAGCCAAGGCCTGGGCCTCTATCTGCTCTTCTGCCCCAGGCCTGGGGCTGGCCGCCACTCGGACATCCTGGAGTGTGGGTCTTTTGGCAGGGAGTCTTATGGCCTCCTCAGCATCAGTCTCATGGCTCTCCACAGAGCAGTGGGCACGCTTTTTGGTGCTATGGGAGCTGTCTGGAGGCACTGCTGTCCCCTCAGAGGTGTGGTCTTCGCCGGTAGACCCCTCAGGGAGTCTGGCTTGGGAGTCATCCCCTGAGGCCTTGGTGTCTACATCTGTGTCTCTCAGACGCATTGAATGCAGGAGCCAGGGATGGGCAGAGGCCATGGCCACCAGACGCACAGTGTTGCCTCCAACTTCCATCACTTGTTGCTGCTCCAAGAGGTCCTAGAAAAAGAGACACAGGGTCTGCCTGGGAAGAAGGCCTGGTTTTCACTAGGCAGGTGATGTGTGGATGGCAGCGAGTGTCAAGTATTCTCAGCAAGCAGCAAGCCCAGGTCCAAAGGGACACGCCTGATCCTGCCCTGGAGCTACAAGCTGCATGGGCCTTTGTGGGCTCTCTCTGTACCTACTGCATTACTCATGACATAGCCTGCTGCCCGAAATCACAGAACTACTGCCAATGGATAGGACTCTCTGACTCTCCTGCCTCATGTGTCCTCCTGTGGGTCTTGACAGTCCAGCTCTACAAAGGCGGTCACTGTTTCAATACAATGACAAGACTGCTTGTGCTTAGCTCTCATCTGCCCCCACTGTCCGCTTCTGTGAAGGAAGTGTCCCAGGAATCACCATCACTCCTTTTTCCTATAAACCCTCGAGCCCAGGCCTTGCACCTTGGCCATGTAGCTCTGCCAGGGTGCTGAGGTCAGCAGAAAGTGCCTGGCTTGCAACCCTCTCGTGGTCAGCAGGCTCTTTCTCCACAGCCTGAGAATTTCTGAGGTCTCTCAGTTAGTTCCCAAAGTTACAATAAGTAAGGGTAAGAACACTTTAAACCATGCAAACAGTATCCCCTGTGCCAAGAGCTCCTCAGAGACACATGCCAGCTTCCACTATGGCTGGGTTTCCTGGAGTAGCCCTGGAGGATATAGTCCCAGTCAGCTCCATGTCCTACACAAAAGATCCCAGATGGCAGACTCCACATCAGACCACTGTCTGCATTCTATTCCCAGAAGCTGCTTACAGAGACTAGAATGACATTCTTTAGATCCAAAGGACCAAACAAGTGATGGGAAGTCCAGGGGGTATGGGATGCCTGTGAGCTGGGGGAACAGAAGAGTCAAGGGGGATGTGGCCTATCCCCAGTAGGTCTAGCTGCTACAGGGCTCAGCCAGGTCCTGTGATGGAGTTAGGACTATGTCCTGACTTTTCAGTGAAAGGGAAACCCCACCACCACAGACATGCGCTTCTGCTCGGCAACTGTCGGCCCTGAGCCCACCTGGACATAGTCTGAGAACGTCCTGGTACGCTGGCCCACTATCTTCTCCAGGGCAGGGAACTGTCTGCTCAGCTTCTCCCTGTCAACCCCGAAGCAGTCAGCAGCTGCCACAGTTTGCAGGATCTCCAGGGAAGCAGCCACATCCTCAGGGCTGTAGCCGGACTGTGCCATGTGGTGGGCGAACTCTTCTGGGCAGCAGGTGTGCAGCTGTGGATCCACTAGGCTGGTGAAGGAATCAGGGAGGCAGGATGGCCCCGCCTGGAGCTCTTCCAGAGGTGTGCCTGTGAACCCTGAGACCACGAGGAAAGCAAAATCAGCAAAAACCCCAGCAATCCCTTCGTGGGACCAACACATGTGGAATACTGAGGCAAGATCTGCTCCAGCACCAGGTCACTGCTCCCCAAGGAGTCACGGCTCACCTTCTGGGGTCACACTGGGCCCTGGAAGTCAGACTCTTGGTGCGTGACTACGGCCGGCTGCAGACCCACTGCAGCTGTACTGAGCCACCCCTCCCTAAAGCCCATGTCCCCACCCCAGAACCCTGAGTGCCGACGCCTGGGCCACGTCCATGCAGTCAGGTTTTCGCTCTATCCAGGAGAGCTCCTTTAGCCGAGACAACAACCTATAGGTTGGCATTGTATTTTTGCCTGCTTCAAACTTCAGAAAAACAGAGTTCTGACAGTGGATAAAAAGTGACAGTGACAGCTGGGCCTTTAATCCCAGCACTTGGGAGGCAGAGGCAGGCGGATCTTTGTGAGTTCGAGGCCAGCCTGGTCTACAGAGCGAGTTCCAGGATAAGCTCCAAAGCTACACAGAGAAACCCTGCCTCGAAAAACCAAAATAAATAAATAAAATTAAAAAAAAAAAAGAAGTGACAGCGATAGCAAACACCATGTGCCTTGACCATACAAAGGTCAGCCGGCTGCAAGGGCAGGGCCTTTCCACTCCCATTCTATGGCAGCATGGACAAAAGCTCAAGCTATCTAGCACTCCCTAGAGCTCCTCCACCACGAAGAAGGTGGGTGGTGGCAATGGAGCTGATGTCCCATCTTCCACAGCAGAGGGAGAGCAAAGGGATAAAGGACAAGATTCAACAGAGTCATCATAAACTACGGGACTCAAGGCTCTGGAGGTGTCACAAAGGAGATCAGCTAGGAAGCATGGACAGGCCCGATGAGGTGACTGCTAGCAACAGCAATGCCGCTCTCCACGTCTCCAGCACTGTGTGCCTGGCCAGGGGCCTCAGGTTTCCCCGGAGCTGAACTGTGGCAGGACACTCACTCACCAGTGGGCCCAAGCTGGGTGGGCGCAGGGGTGCTGCGCAGCCGGAACTTCACCTGGCAGGAATTGACCACGATGCTGTCATTGGGGTTCAGGTTGCGCGTACTGACCACTCCTGGCATTGTGTAGTAACCCCGCATCAGCAGGTACTTGGTGTGTGAGGCCTGATGGGCCTTTACTTCCACACCCTGGCGCTTGGCCCCGGAACCTTCATCCAAGTCTTCCTCCTCCTCGTCATCATCCAAGCCTGCATCTTTCCCCAAGCTGCGGAAGAGAAGACAACTAGGTGGCTGGACTCAGACCAAGTCCACCTGCTACACGGCCATCTTTGCCTTCACCGAGTGGCAACAGTTAGCCGTCACAGACACCACTCACTCCAGGTGCCCTCTCCCCACCACCACGTGTCTCTGCTTGAGACAAATCTTTCTCTGTCACCATCCAAACCGCCCCATGAAGGCCCAGCTCAGCTCTGCCACAGTCCAGTACCTGGCTCACATTTCCTTCTCTGCAGCACTCCCCTAGCCCCTTGGAAAGTACCAGCAGGTAACTCACTGGACACTGCCCTGCCGATCCTAGTCACAAATCTCACAGATGCTGGCCCAGCAAGATCACGGAACACCAGTCCCCTCTGCAAAGGTCCCCAAAGATACAAAGCAGCAAAAGTCATGTTTGCTAATGACAAAAATCTGATGGGGGCTGCAAAGATGGCTCAGTCAGTAAAGTGCCCTGCGAGCAAGGGGACCTGAGCTTGGATCCCTACCACCCCCACCAAAGGCTGGGGTGGGGGCATGTCTGTAATCCGAGTGCTAGGGAGGTGGATCACTAGAGCTCACAGGACAGCCAGTCTAGCTGAGCTGAGGAGAAATTTGAGACTGTCTCAAAAAATGAGGAGAGTGGTAAAGGCACCCACTTCTGGCTTCTGCACCTGCATTCACATACGTACACTCCCATGAGCACATGTATATATACCATGTGCACACTCCCACAAGAACATGTATATATACCATGTGCACACTCCCACAAGAACATGTATATATACCATGTGCACACTCCCACAAGAACATGTATATATACCATGTGCATACTCCCACGAGAACATGTACATAGACCATATGCTCAGACCAGATGACTGAGCAGATAACCCTTTCAGTACTACAACAATGAGAAGAAATGACCACTCCTAATGGTTCAAGAATCTGTGTGTCCCCAAACTGTGACCAGAGTCACATGCACATGCTGCTCTGGGCTCTGACCTCTTCATGACCTCACTCTCCACCATGGAGCTGTCCACCACCACAATCTGCTCTGGAATTCTGACATCCACAGAGAGGAGGCCCAGGGAGAAGAGAGCCAGAACTGTCACACAGTATCCTCCAGGGCTATCCAAAGAAAATGCCACCAGGTCACTTGGAGGGTCACTGCTATCCAGGTCCTTGAAGGAAAAATGATCAGGCTGGTCTAGTATGCTGGCAGCCCGGAGTCTGTCGTAGAACTGGAAGGATTCAGTGCAGATGGTGGTGGGAAATCGCCATGTGAAAAGCCTGTAGGCAAAGCAGGAAGGAGATGCTATTGAAAAGCTGCTGTTACAGCCTGTGCTGGCCTGCACCCTTGTGCCCCCCCAGGCACTCATGCCCACTGTGATGGGAAACAGTGCTGCAGACCAGTGTTGTGGGGGCATTTCTTCCCCACTCACCTTGTACATCCAAAGTGGGGCCAGTTCATCTATGCCAAAGGCCTGGCAACGCCTCATGCCAACAGCTGGCAACCCAAGGAGGAGGAACCTCCTTTTGTGACAGTTGATAGGACACGCGTGTCCAATCTTACTGTCTGCAGACGTGCAGGCCAGTTCTCTGACAAAAGCCCAGAGAGCAGGGACCCAAGAAGTGTACCCTACTTGCCGACCACACCCGTACCTTCTGCTGCTTCACCCTCCCCAGATGCAAAGGAGCCCAAGCTCCTCAGGGTGAGGACCTAGGAGACGGAAAGGCCTGGAATGGGGAGAAGCCAAAAGGACTAGTGGTGGAATCATCTAATGTCCAAATGTGGCCCCCGCTGACTGGAGGCTGGCATGACATGCCTGGATGAGGGGCTTCCCCACCCTGCAATCAGAGGCTGGTGGTGCAGAGAGGTTCTGAGGGCACCCTGCCCAGCCCTGCAGGGCACAGGTGGTGCAAAAGGCCCTGAGCTGACTGGGGGAGGGATAAGGCTAGCCCACTAGGCAGCTGCACTGCTCCCTGGATTGCTTACACAACTTGGAACTACCTTTCCTCCACTTGCTTCATGGCAGCACTACCGCATAGGAGACAGGCAGAAAGAGAACCTTCCTGGACCAAGCCCTCTGCTCTTGAGGACACTCACTTGTAGTATGATTGGGAGAGCTGGTAGGACATGGGCACGAAGGGCACAGCACGGTTCTTCTTGGGACCCTGGGAATGGCTGACTCGGCGCCGGTTGACCAGGCTCCTCTTTTGGCATTCCATGAAGGCCCGCACTAGTACAGGCTCCCGGAACTCCCGGTAGAGACGGAAGATCTGTAATAGCACATGGCAGGGTGAGGTGCCTGGCCAGAAGGGGAGCCAGCCATAGCAGCATAGAAACTGCAAGGAGCCACTCACAGGAACCCTGGCTCAGCTGACCAGCCTGAATGTCTCCAAGAGGCTCTCAGGCTGTTGGATAGTACTGACCCTGGGATTTCCTAGTGACAGCGCACAGAGCGTGACAGCTAAGTGACACTCCGAAGCCTTGCTGTGAGGCAGGAGTGAGACCAAGAGAGGAGTAACTTCACTGCTGAGGGGCCAGGTGGTCCCAGGGGTGTGGGCCGCAAGGAGCAGTCTCTTGGAAGAGAGCACCTGAGTGTCACACAACCCTGATTCCTCCAGGCAGTCTGCCTGACAGGTCTGGGTGTGCACAGTCTGACTCCAGGGGGAGACTGTCTGGGGCAGAGAGAACGAGGCTGCAATGCTTTTTCACCTTTCCTCCTTACAGAAGTGCAGTAGAAGCTACAGCCAGCACGGGGGCTTGGCCGTCTACAATTCTGCTCTTGAGAACTTGCTGGGTACATCCTCCAGACACCTGCTGCTGTGTGCCAGATCAAGACAGTGGGGTCACCACTTGGATCCTGAGAGCCTAGGCTGCCACAGGAAAGTATCCTTGTAGCTGTCGGGCATGCCTGCAGTGTCTGCCCATTCCTTCTGTCTTCTGAGAACCTAGACTGTGGGGAACCTAAGGGGTACTGTATGAGCCTTGGGTGTCACTGATGGCCCTGATGTCCTCAGTGCTAGCTCCTGAGAGCCGCAGAAGCACCCTGCCTGCTCTGGGGGATGGGTGCTTAGGTGGTCTTTCTTAGACACTTTCCATCTGAGCCTAGATGTCCCTAAAGATGGAAGCGGAAGTGGAAGGGCAGCTGGTGGCTGCTTACTTTCTTCTCTGGGGCTGAGGAAGCAAGCAGGATGCCGAGGGCTCACAGGCCTGGGCTCCCTGCTGAGCATGAGACGTATCTTTGGCTTTCTTTTTAAACAAGCATGAGCCCAACGAAGAACTGGTATGGCCATGGCTGAAATCTTGGGATTTCTACCTCACTGTATACTCTACTGTAGTTCAGGCTTACACAGGGCTTCATGTTCTCCAGCTGCAGAATGCCCACGAGGCCAAGGGACAGGTGTTACCAATAACCAGGTTCTCATTTGGAACCATGCAGAAGGCCAAAGAGAGTTAAGTGTTGCCAGGAAACAAGTGAGTGTTTGCTGGCACTCTCAGATACGGGGTCCTGGGTGTCCTTGTGGGTGGGAAGAAACTGTACCAGGTGACTTAGAGCAGGACAGATCTAATGACACTTAGAGATTTGCGAAGGCACATCCATTCCTGCTCAATGTCCAGGGCCAAGGTAGTGCTCTGAGGCAAGATATCAAAAGCATCTTCCTGCCAGGCATGGTGGTGCATACTTTTAATCCTAGGACGTGAGAGACAGACCTTTGTGAATTCAAGGCTGGCCTATCTACACAGCGAGTTCTAGACTAGCCAGGGCTACATAGTGAGACCATCTCAAAAAAACAGGCCAGAGAGATGACATAGGTTAAGAGCATTGGCTGCTTTTCCAGAGGACCCAGGTTCAATTCCCAGCACCCACATGATAGCTAATAACTGTCTGCAAATCCAATTCCAGGGGACAAGACTCACTCTTTTGGCCTCTGTGGGCAACACACTCCATGTGATTCACAGATAGACATGCTGGTAAAACACCCATACACAAAAATAAAAATAAGTAAATCTTAAAAAATAGTAAGAAACAACAAAAACAAAAATTAAACATCTTTCTTCAGCAGTTCCACTGGAGCCCTATGGCACAGGCCTTAGGAGGAGGTGTCTGCAGCCCCAGCAAGACATTCACTAGCACAAAGGGGGGCTGTGATGGCTAGTGTCATCAACTTTATGGAATCTAGAATCACCTGGTAGACCTCCAGGTATGCCCACGAGAGATTATATTGATTACAATAATTGAGGTAGGAAGACTGCCCACTATGGGAGGCACCATTCCCTGGCTGTGATGCATGCTGAAAAGTACCTGAGCAGCAAACTCAGCAAGCACTCATTCCCGTTTTTTGACTGTAGATGCAATGTGCCTCAAGCTCTTGCTTCCTTGACCTCTCTTGAGTTGCTTATTAGAATACTTAGAATTAGAATACTTCATTACAGCAACAGGAAAAGACTAGGCAGTGGCTCAGAGCCTGAGTCAGAACCAGAGACAGGGATGCCCAGGCTCACGGGGTCCCACCCCTCAGTAGCTTGGAGTTGGCATGCCAGAGTGCTTGTACAGCATGTAGGAAGCCTTAGGTTTGATTATAGCAGCAATAATACACAAGAATGAAAGGCACTCAAGGTCCCCAAGACCCACAGCTGGGATGGCCAGAGTAAGCATCCACATAGCTCCGGTTCCCTAAGGCCCTAAGGGCCCTGTTGTGCTGAGGAGGCCAGCACCCACCTGGAAGGACTGGCAAGAGTTGGACTGGCTGTTAGAGAGGGACAGTGTGCTCTGGATCAGGTTCTGTAGCACCAGGAAGTGGATGTCCTCCACACTGAAACACAGTAAGTACCAAGACTGCAGGAGGCTGCTGGCCCACAGCAACCTCCTGAGAGGTAAGTGCACACACGAGAAATGCTTAGTTAAGACATTGCAATCCCACAGAAGTGCTGTGAATGCTGACGCAGTCACAAAACCCAAGTAAAAGGCAGTTCCTAGACTTACTAGTTGTTCATGTCTCACAACAACAACAACAAACTGTTCCCAGCTAGATGTTTGCCTATAATCCCAGAGCTAGGAGGCTGAGATGGGAAAGCTGGCCCAGAGCAGGTTTCAGGCCAGTGTGAGAAACAGAGTAAGGTACTGTCTCAACAAACAAAAGTATCTTCCCTTAGAGGGTAAGGGGCAATATGGTGTGTAACCAGCTTTTAAAGCAGCTAGTAAAAGCAAGCTTTTTCTTTCCCTGACTCTAAATGAGAAAAAGGATCATTTTGTACTACTTTATAGTGCTAAAATCCAGATGAATATTTCTTTACAGGATGCGGGGGGGTGGGGGGGTAGGGTGGGGGTGGGGGGGAGGAGACACACACCCAAAACACAACATTTTCTGTTGGGTTGAGCTCACTTAAGAGCAGGCGGGTGACATCTGAGGTTAGGCCGTGGCCAACTTCCTCTGTAAAGGGCCAGACCCCATGGGCTCTAGTAAAACCACTCAGCACAGGAAGGAAACAGTACAGACAGCACATCAAATGAACATGGCTTGTGTTCTAAAGTTATTCACAAAAGCAGGTGGCAGGCTGGATTTGGGCCTAGGTTCCCCATCAAGGCTATAGCTGAGAAATGGAGCTTACCTATTAAGTTCATCCTCCTTCCTGACACGGTCCTTCTCATCTCCAATTGCCAACACTCGGTATCTGCATAGGAGGCAGAAGAGTATGCCAGTGGGGCAGGGTGGCCTTCCACCGAGCTGGCACTTGCTCATGGTGGCCATTCAATGCTGAAGGGCTGAACAAGCCGAACTCAGCACACACAGAAACCACACCAGGTTTCACCCATCAAACAAGTCCATTCTTATGACTTGAGGATTAGGAGAGTAAGGGTCCTCTTACAAAGCATGGTGGGAACACATGGATAGACAGGGACAGAGGGTGTAAAATTGTGGGTTCACTATGAGTAGAAAACAAGCAAAGTGAGGACCGTGGAAAAGAACGCAAAGAAACGGTCTGTGTATGTTTATGGGTGTGGGGTGCATCTGCTTATTTGTAGGTTGCAATACACATATGTGCAAGTGTATGTGTGGAGGTCAGAGGTTGACCCTGAGTATCTTCCTTAATCACTCTGCATTATTTGTTGAGGCAGGGTCTCTCACAGGAGCCTGCAGCTCACCGATTAGCTAGTCTAGCTAGCCAGCTTGCTCAGGGATCCCGTCTCTGCCGCCTGTGCTGTGAGTATAGAAAGGCTGCCATGATCACCTGGCACTTATGTAGGTGCTGGAGGTCTGTCTGAACTCATGGAAACCAAACAGGAAGGTGCTATGAGGCTTAAGGCAGGAAGACAGATAGGCAGAGGGATGAAACTGATGGAAGGCTATGGTGAGGGTGAGGAATGAGTTTTAAGTGATTTATTGTGCTTACTGGTCTTAAATAATAACATACCACATATAACATTATGTATCTTATAAGTATATACCATTATCATCTGTCAACAGGAAATGAGTAAATTGGACCTGATGCTGCACACCTGTACTACAGTATCTGGGAGGATGAGGCAAGAGGATATGAATTCAAGGCCAGCCTGGCTACATGTAAGACCCTGCCTCAAAAAAACAAAACAAAACAAAACAACAACAACAAACAAACAAACACAAACCACCAATAACAAATTGAGGAGGGTTTGCTCTGAGGTACAGCATTTGCCTTTTATGTATAAGGTCCTAGGTTTAATCTCCAGCACTATGGAAGTAAAAATAAATAAATCTTACAAATAAGCAACAATCTTGATGGCAGAAGAACAGAACACTTCCTGTCTTTTCTGTGAGTGAATCTTATGCAACATCACTTTACATGAAATTGAAGTCAATATAAATTGAAGGAACTAACTGTTAAAACCTCAGGTTTAACCAAGTCATTCCTTTGGTTTTCAGAAAAGTAAAGTAAAACCTCAACTCTGCAATGGTAAATTTTACCTAAATTTTATTGACAGAAAAAGTGCCTTTTCAGTAAATTCCACTTTCATCTTATGGGGAGGGCATGGAAGTCTCTTCCATCCTGCCTGGTCCACAGAGCACTTAAGGCCAAAGTCAATGTTATCGGCCACACCTGCAACTCACTTTTCCTCCAAGTGTTTAGAGCTCTGCTTTTACATCCTTAAAACTGTCTTCATTTAGGATTACAAGCAGCTTCTTGTTTGAATGCACATGTGTAGGAACAAACCACAAGCATGGGCACAGACATTGAGATACCATCAAGAGTGAGCATAAACTGCACATCCACGCATGGAAATTAGACAGTGCTTTGCTGCCAAATAAAAACAAAATCCAGAAAACAGCAATGGGTGGGTTTGGTGACTTGTGCCCATAATCCTAAGGACCAAGAGGCTGAGGCAGGAGGAACGCTCAGACTTAGGGACTAGCCTGGACTACATAGATCTGTCCCACCACACACAAAAAAGGGCATTACCATGGAGGTCTCAAAGAGTGGACACTATATTCACTACTAAATGAACCTTGTAGTATGATTCCCAAACGAAACGCTGAGAGCTAAGACAGGAGGAGTGTGTCTCCATGAGGATGGAGGAGGAAGGATCCGTATCTGGATGCTGCTGTGGAAACAGGCCTGGTTCATGCCCCTTCAAACTAGTCTCATACTAGTATGTTCCTCCACACAAGTGGTGAGCCAAAAACCTAATCTGTTATGAGAGCCACTTGGCACAGGCCCTGGCCCTGCTTTGTGACCCTGGCCCAGGGACAGTGGCCTGTGCCTCCCTAGGACTGAAGCTGTGCAGGATGGATGTAGCTGTTCTGACACCTGGCTGTAGCCCTGAGGTAGATCACTGGGGCCTAGAGCCACCCCCTTCCCCCTCCCTTCCTTCCTTCCATCTTATAGTCTCCTAATTAGTAAATCAACAAACTCAGCAAGAAGCACACACAACACAGAGCCTGGATTAGTTAGGTGGGCAGCAGGGACTCAGTGGGAGAAGAAACATAGGTACCAGGACGTGCAGGGCCTCAGGTTACCTGGCATCAGGTGGTCCTTGGAGGGTCAATGCAAGGCCAAGTACAGCCAGGCAGGCACTCACTGTCCAGCTTGCTAATCTCTGCTACCCACCTGCAGAGTGCAAGGCTCTGCCCATTCAGGACAAGACACCTACTTGGCAAAGAGCTCCTGCAGTGTGTTGGGGATCTCAAGATTGGGGTTCCTCAGGCCAGAGCTGAACTTTTCTTTCAGCTTCTCCACAAATTCTTTAAACTCCTTGGCACAAACCTGTAAGATAAGAGCTTAGCTGTTACACCTTCCCATGGGATGGAGGCTGTGCAAGCACTAAGGACACTGAGCAAACTCCTCTGGCAGCCATGGGGTCCAGTGACACTGACAGCTCTCATGCCTGCTCCCCACCTTCCCCAGGCAGAGATGCAAACACGGCCTGCACTGTCCCCACCATGCACATGGACAGGCTGGCTGCCAGGCACACGTTGCTCTATTACCTCTTTTCTCTCAGCTTGGTTTTCCCTGGCTGCCCTGTGTAAGCTGACTTCTCCAACTTCTCCAGCCCCTCATGCTCATGTGGCCCGCTGCCTCATGCAGACCTATCTGAGAAGTCTCCGCTTGGCCTCATACCTTTCCTAGAGCTCAGGCCCAGAGAAGCAGGGTTAAAAGCTTGGGATGCATGCAGTCACAGAAGACTGGCTTCCTCTCTGGACCTGTCACACCTGGCTGCAAACCTGGGCTGTCGCTGTGCTCCAAGGGGGTTGTACCCCTCCCTTTTACTGTGTCCACTCGGCTGCCCCCAGCTTCCCAGTTTCAGGCCAGAGTAGATACCTCTAAAAAGTTCACAGGGGCAGACATGCTTACTGACTGTTTAGTACCCCGTCTTTCTTGTTAGTTAGAGGTGTTCTGGTTTGGTGTGACTGGCCTCTTAGGATTAGCCAGTGTGCCAATCCATTCATGTCACCTCAGCCTCTGTATGAGGGTCCACTGGGAGCTTCTGGAACTCTGTCTAGAGGTTCCATGTTCAAGATGGAGAGCTGAGCTCTGGTGATTACTCTATTTCTCTCTATTCTTCCATGGCAGCATGAACACAGCCCACTACGCTGACTGCTTTGTTTATATGACAGGCAAGGTCTTCAGCCTCACGAGGCTGGATTTGCTTGGTGCGTGCACTTCAGTATTCCTGGCCGTCTTAGACCCCTGTAGGCCCAAGCCGTCCTTCCTCACTTGGAGAAGACTTGTCCCATGTGATGAAGGCCAGGGCATTCTCTACCTGTTTAGGGGCAGACACACCCCTCCCTGGGCTTTCCTACTAACAGGTCTGACATGGGTATAGCAGGGTCTAGAATGGCTGACAGCAGGTCAACACTCTAAGCCAGGGCAGAAGCACCTGGGCCCGCATAGCTACCTCCTTCCTATCAGACACCATCTGGCCCACCTGACGGTAAACCCACACAGCACCTTTCAAAAGTCTCTGCTGCAATTTCTAAAGAGTTGCTTTGTTTTCTTTTTCTTCCTTTCTTTCTTTCCTTCTTCCCTCCCTCCCTCCCTCCCTTTCTTTTTTTTTTTTTTTTTTTTTTGGAGACAGGGTTTCTCTGTGTAGCTTTGCGCCTTTCCTGGAACTCACTCTGTAGACCAGGCTAGCGTTGCTTTATTTTCTTAACAGGCCCCAAGCTCAACAGCATTTGAAATTACCAAGTCATACACGGTCAACTTTAAAATGGAGGCCTGGAGTCAGGGCCAAGGGTTCTAAGCACGGCCAAGCTGACTGTGTTTGTAGGGTCCTGAGGGCTAGGCAGTTCCTCAATGCCTATCTTCAGAGTGCACCGGGCCCTGCCACTGCATGGGACTTACCTTTGGGTCTTCGTAGTTACCCTTTCGACTCATGAAATCTCCAACGAGTGCCTTATCCTGGTACACCTCTGCCAGGCAGACCCTGTGGGAAGGAAGGTCAGCGCTGTTCAAGTTGCTCCCCCCTCTGCTGGAAGGCTGGGAGCCGATGGCCAGCTCACTGAGAGCTATGATCTACCTAAGCACTGGTGGGACAACTAGCTTTGGGGAATGAGCACCCTGCAGTGAGCTGCACCCAATGCAAGTCAGGCTGGTCAAGGCTCACATTTCCATCTTGGCTTCTATCTTCCATGGGGAGACTGAGGACAACAGCATTCTCCCTCAGCCCTACCCCATCACAGGGATTTGGATAGGACCAACAGAAGTGTGTGTGTGAATTTTAAACTACTGTACACCACCATCTGCTATCAGAGTTCCTGGCCGCAGCACTGCTGTCCCCCTGCCAGCCTGTCCCTTCCTGTGAGGGCAGTGGAACCTGGCTTGCCCAAAGGGAAGCAAAGGAGAAACAAGCCTGTCAAAGGCCCAGCTAGCCAGTCTGCCATCTCTGCTGTCAGGGAACAGAGAGGCCTGGGCTGCGAATGCTGTCCTTGGTTTTCATCACCTGACTTCCAGGTGAGCAAATGACTTCCATCTCCAGTCCACAGGAAGACAGGACCCCAGGGCTGCTGACTCTGGAACCCCCTTTTTTTCCTTGTCCCAGGGCATGCTGGGAGCAGGGAGCCCAAGCCTCAGATCCTCTTCCCTGACAACTCTCTACCATTTTGACACACCTCTTGACATGTGGGCATTTTTCCTTCAGAGAATTCTTTCAGGTAGGAAACAAGAACATTCTATAAATAAGCAAAAGTGGCTTCATACAAGAAAGGCCCTACGCATGCAATGTGGACATGGCCTGGCCGACTGCAGGTGACCAGCAGTGCAGAATCGCTGTGCCCTGGCTAAGCTGAAACTGGTACAGTACAGGACATTCTTCTGTCCCTGCCTCCCACCCCATCCAACTCTTGCACTGGTGGCATGTTGTGGGTACCTCCCAACTCCACAGACTCTCTGGCCTTCCCTCCGTGGTCCCCTGTGGAGGAAACTGTGGAAGAGCCTGAAGGCCTGTAAGGAGACAGTAGATCGGCCCTGCAGCCAAGAAGATGCTTTGTGATTCCTAAGTACCTGCTGTCCCCACAAGGCCTGGGCCTCACCCAGAAGGACTTGGGGACAACCGGTTCTGCCAAGGGGATACAGTGTTCTTTTCCCAAGAATGAGCTCTGTGAAGTTCTTAGGACTGCTCTGATCACAGCAGTGCCAGTCAGTCCCTGCCCTCCACTCACGGGGATACCAGGACAGATGCACAGTGAGCCTCACTCAGCGCCTGCTCCCCAAGGTGATCTGTAAGCTCACGTGCACAGAAGTGCCCAGAACCACACCTGCTCTGGAAGGTCATGTCTGTTTCACCTGCAGACTGCAACACCTGGACAGCCACTGTACTCACCACACTTTACCTGGATTCCACCCACACCCGAGTCTGAACATGACGGGTAAAGGGGTAGAAAAGGAGTTGAAGTGCTGGAATAAGGGCTGGCGCGATCCAGCTGCAAATGTGGCTTACTTGTAGTTCATAAAGGCCTGGGGATTCTTGACTATGTAGCGAGCTCTTCGTCCAACTGAGTGAGATGTCTTATCCAAAGACTCTTCAAAGGTAGCATGTAAAATGTCCCGCACAACCTGCCAGGTGACAAATGGTCCTTTCACCTAGTCCAAACACAGAGTGACAGTTAGTACCTGCAGAACCCATATTCAGGACAGCTAACAGAAAGGATTGGGAATGAGTGTGTCCTAGGAGCCTGTTTCCCCAGGGAGGCTCAGAGCGTTCACCTCATGTTCGCCTACCTACACTGTACCAAGTGAGACCTGGGTACAGAAAAACAGGACAAGTCCTCAACATCGTATGGGATTGTACTTTCTGGCACACACTGAGGGAGGCCCCAGTATCAGGTAAGGTTAAGAGAATGGTAAATGTGCTTCGGGAGTTTTGCTTCTTTCTTTTGGTACTGAAGTAGGGTCCTCTCTGGGCAGTCAGGGCTGGCCTGGAACTCCTGACACCTAGGATCAAAGGTGTGCATCACCTTGGGTAGGTAGAGAGTGTTAAACACTGATACATTCTGTGTTCTCAGAGGCATTCTGTACTGTGTGCCTTATATCACATCATCTTCCAATACATATACTGGAAGAAACAGAAAGAACTAAGATAGCAAACTCAGAACATGTCAGAAAATAATAATACACAGGAAAGGGTTAAAGACAGGTGATTTTCCTAACAATGCTAACAAGATGCCACCAAGTTCTAGAGAGGAGTGGGGGGCAGGTGATGGGGGAGGGGAGGCATTCCTGACCACCAGTGCTGTAATAAAGAGCCATGTGAGAGGTAGCAGACAGAGTTCAGGATGGTACTGGGCACCTCTCCATCTTCCTTAGGGAAAAATAGAGATGGAATTTAGGAAAGGGTGGGGTGCAAGCATTGGAGACAATGGATCAGAACAGGGATGGAAAAAGCAACACAGCCCTAACTGGCTTCTCCTGGTTGGTATGCTGGTGACCAGGACACAGATCAGCCGTAAGAACCACTCTATTTGTTGACATCACTGCCTGCAGTGGCCCTGACCCAGTCGGCATGGAGCTCATATCCTGTTGGCCTCTATAAAGAGCATGGGTTTGCTCATGCCTTGTTGCTCGCCATGCCGGCAGGAAGCACAGAGCCAGGGGTCACGAGGTGCTGTGGGAATGTGAAACACAGGAACTCTGGCTGGGCTGTAGAACCTGTCACCAACAGAAGCATGAAGGGTTTGCTGACTGAAAACAAGGCAGGGAAGATACACTGAGTGTGGAAGACAAATGTGTAGGGCCACGGCCAGGAAATGCCAAGTGTCTTTGCCATAGGGGTACAACTACTCTAGGGCCCAGGGGTACCAAAACTACAGAGCCAAGGTGGAAATCACGGTTCATGGTACTGAACACACCAAGCCACTACAGGCAGACAACACAGAAGGAAGGGCTGGGCAGCAGACAAGAGTGAAATGGCTTGACCTGCTCCACTGCAGCCAGGCAGACGTGCACACGCGTCTAACTGAAGGCTGGGAGAATGTGCAGGCTGGCAGTGCAAGCACACAGGATTCTGGGAAATGCTTTTCTGGGCAGCTGCTGGGAGTGGTAATGAGTCCAGAGCCATAGCTCTCACAGCACAGCAAAGGGCCTCTCCCAGGGGCCGGGGGTAATGGCAAGTACCTTGGTATTGAGGACATTGCTGGCAATTCGGCAGAGCATTAGCAACCCATCCTCCTGCATGGACCAGGAGACACGCAGCCGGGTCATCATCCGGAGGGCATTCTGGTCAGCCTCATCTTGGTAGCGCAGCTTTTTGCTTTTTGCTTCCGGGTGCTCTCCTAGAAACACAAGGGGAGAGGAGAGGGACCTTCAGCAACTGGCTAGAGGCAGCTTTTCTTCCAGAGGGGAAGGGTCCCAACTGCACTGGCAAGAAGTGACCAAGCCTACCAGCTACTAGACAATGCCCAATTCCAAACAAGCAAACCGGGAAGGGCAGTTACCCATTTCTCTGGCTGAATGTCATGGGTTCAGGTTAGGCAGTATGAACATGGCCCTCCCAGCCAGGGAAATGTGACAGTAGACCTACGACCATGGAATCCACTGGTTTTTACCATCCCGAAGCAGCCAGCCTGATAGAAAGATGGAGTGGTCTTTTGAAGACACAGCTAGAGCAGCAGCCTAGAGGGTTGGGGCAGGGTTTTCCAGAAGTTTTGAGCCAGTGTCTAATATATGGTACAGTTTCTCCCATAGCCAGGATCTATGAGTTCAGAAATCAAGGAGTAGACGGGGATAGTTCCACTCACTATCACTCTAGTGACCCACTAGGAAATTTTGGTTCCTCTTCCTGGGACCTTAAGTTTTGGTTCCAGAGTGGGGAGTGCTCCTGCCAGGAGCCGGAACAAACTTCCCGCTGAATGGGAGGCTCATCCTCCCCATTCACTGGCCACTCTGGACTTGTGATGCCAACAAGCCAAGAAAGGAGAACAGTGTTGATCTAGATTACCAAGGGGAAAGTGGACTGCCTCTCCACAATGGAGGTAAAATAGATTATGTCTCGAGTGCTGTGGTTCTCAATCTGTGGACCATGACCCCTTTGGTAAACCTCTTATCTCCAAAAATATTTATATTACAATTCATAACAGTAGTAAAATTACAGCTAAATGAAGTAACAATGAAAATAATTTTATGGTTGGGGTCACCCTGACATGAGGAGCTGTATTAAGGGTCACACTAGGAAGGTTGAGAACCACAGCTTTAGGGTATCTTGGTGCTACCACATCCTGAGGCTAAAGTCAATGGGAAACTACAACAGCCTGATCCAGGCAGGGTGACACAGGGCACAGACCCTTCAGGAATGAAGGTACAGGTCACTCCTCCAGGGAAAGAGCCAAGACCTGCTGAGCTGCTTGCTGAGGGTGGAGGAAATACAGAACCAGTAGTACAAGGAAGCTTGGCCCCTCTGCCTGATTGCTTTCATTTATCAAGGCCATTTCTTCTCCGGGATAAGAGCCTACTTCTTCAGGATTCCAGTGTATACTTTCTGAAGATGAGCTGAGACATCCAGCCTCATGGACTAAGCAACAACTGGATTCATTGGCAGACAGCCATTGTTGGACTAGCTGGACCACAGCCTGTAAGCCACTCTAATAAATCCCCTTTATACGCTCATTCCGTTCCTCTCATCATTTCCAGAACATGTTCAAAGAGTAAGTGGGGTGACCAATAGCAGCCTCTGAGCCCCCCAGTATCTGTGTGCCTGTGACCTCAGGGTGCATGTAGATTCTTAAACACTACAGGGATGGCAAGGCCTATGCTCTAGGGCTGTCTTGAAGACCAAAAACAATAGTATAAAAATTTGTCCTAGGGTCAGCAAGGTAAAAATGGCTCAGCACGTAAAGTGGTTTGGAACAACCTGTATTTCAGAACCCTATGTACATATACATAGGTAAGTGCAAAACTATTACAAGAACAGCACAAAGAGACCTCCTGCAAAGCCCACCTTGAGGCAGACCTTGACTGCCACTTGGTGGAGAAGCCCCTGAAAGCAACAGGAAAGCGTGCCTCTGGGTGTGCCCAGCATCTCTGCCTCCTGAAAGTGAGCCACTCTCTACCACACGCCCCTGCCACGAAGCTCTGCCTCATCAGCCCAGAAACAGACCATGGACCAAACCCCTCACACGGTGAGTCAATATATCCTTCCTCCTGGAAGTGGTTGGCACAGGTATTGTCAGTGACGACAATCACAGCAGCACAGACGCCAGCTATGTAACAGGGAGCAGCTGACTGCACCATCCCAGTCACACTGTGGGAGCACTGGGTCAGGATCCACATACACACCAGCCACTGCACTTTCCCTTCGAGGAATACTGCACTATATCCTGGTCTTTCATGTATCTGGAACAGGCTAAGTTGAGGACTATGTCAAGTGATGGGATGTTTATTATGAATGCCAGCAACACAAACCAATAAAGTAGGTTCCTGCTTAAGCACTTTTCTCTGAAGAATCTGCAGCCATGGTTGATGTTAAAACATACGGCCTACTTAGGGAACAGTCCCCTCGGCTCTCACTTCCATTAGAAGTACAGTTCAGATGAAAAACAAGACGAGAAAGCGCCAAGGAGGGCTGTGCTAGTTCTGAAGGAACAGTGCAGGTTTCAATGATTCCCAGCTTCCTCCTAAATACTTTTCAACAGGACTGAGCTTGGCCAGATGAGCAGAGACAGACACTCAAAGGCAAGCCAAGAGAAAGGATCTTGCTAGGAAGATTTTCCAGGTAGGATGAAATCAGAAGGCGGATAAAGAGAAAGGCTGGCAAAGCACACAGCCAGAGAAAACTGGAGAAATGGTTCATTCTTAGATGGGCTATGGACACAGCAAGTCAGGGCTACAGACTGGGGAAATGGACACTTTGCAGGATGAACCCAGGCCCTGTGGGAGTAATACTGCCATGGGCCATGGACATACAACGATAAGGTCACGAACACCCCCAGGTACCTCTCCTTCTTCGCTTGATCTTTCTGATGATCGGCTCCTTCTTCAGCCGCTTCCGCTTCTGGCTCTTCCCACCACGCACTTTACGGTTCCTGCCAGTGGTAGGTTCTCGGTCCAGTTCAAACTGTTCCTCCTTGTCAGCACAGAGCTCGGTATCAGCTCTCCCCTCTGACCAGAGTGGCAAACGGCCACTGCCTAGAAATAATCAGAGGATACAATTGCTTGGCATAGCCCTTGTAGAGGCCACAGAGGCCAGCAGAATCCACGGTGGTGGTGGTGGCTGGAACTAGCCTCATAGTTGGCACTGTTTAGTGTGGACGCTCAGCACACACACCTCCGGATCCAAGAGGCATTGGGCGCTTAGACAGGAACGTCTGGAGTCTTCCTGTGAGCCCATTCTCGGGGGTGTTGTTCTGAAAGGTAAGCATAGCACTGGGGTGAGCTGTGAACTTCCATGGGTCTCTACAGCCATTCAGTTCCTGCACGTGCCCTCCCTCCTGGAGGCATTATGCCACCAGACTTTCTGTGTGTCTCTAAAAAGGAGCACCCAAACCCATGACAGTGTAAGCCAGAAACCAATGGGAAAGCAAACTCTAGGCCAGTGTCCCCTCTTAGCAACGGTGATGATGGCTCCAGGTGAGGGGTGGAGTGTCCCCAGGAGCCTACCTTTCTGGCTTTGTTGATAATGTAGCTGGTCCAGACCCAGTTGCGCTTCAGGTGTGCATAGAAGCTAGAATCCAGCCCAGCAGCTCCCAGCCCATCTCCGGGGACTAAGCCTTCATCCACAACTTCTCGGCTCCCCCTGAGACAAGGCAAATAGAAAAAGAGCCCCTCCTTGTAAGTTAAGAGCAGGAGAACCTGTGTGTATGTGTGATAGTGTTCACTTTCCGGAGACAGTAATGAGCAGGCAGAAAGAAAGAGCTCGGAGGGCTATAGGCTGGGAAGCTGTTAATTTTCAGAAATCAAGAAGTCTGATTCTCATGTGAAGTTGCCAACTTCTAAATTCTGACATAAATTTCAGAAAAAGTTATGTTTAGAAACATGTCTAGTAGGGCCAGACATTGTCCATGGCAACCAAACTGCTGCCTCTGGCTTCCTGCCTAAGTTGTTAGCCAAGGCTAGGGCCACAAAGGTGGGTGTCACGGCCTTCAGGGGGTGGTACGCACGTGGTGTACTCCAGCATGGCACACTTGCGCTCCAGGTTGTGCTTATCCATGGCGCTCTCCTGCTCCTTCCGCAAGCTGCCTTCTGGGTCACTGCCCTGATCAGGGCAGATCTTCTGTGCACAGGGGCAACGCACCACACCTGGACAACCAAAGCAGGGCTCAGTGACATGTTCCCGGCCAGCTGCTGGCAGCCAGAGGGAGAGTGAGCCATGGTCCCAGGTGAAGCCCTTCTCACAGTGTTATGCAGAGGTAGGGAGAGAACAGAGAGAGGTGAGAGCCACAGCAGGGACTTGTGAGGGTCTCTACTGGTGCAGTCTGTTAAGGACTGGAGGGAAGCAGCAACCAGAGAAAGCCTCTGCCTGGTTGGCTGTCATTCAGGCGCTGGCTTGATGGCCAGTGAGTACAGCAAACTGGGACGCTCCGGCAGCTTTTCTTGGCTAGAATGGTATCTGAGAGACTGTGCTCAGCTTCACTCTACCCTACACATGTATACTGACAGCTTTGGTTTAGAAGATAAGGAACAGAGGCTCAGGGAGACTGCAAAGACTTTGTACAGGGCTACTGTCCATTTGAGTGGACATGTGACACTTAGGTCATTCTTGTCATGTACATATTAAAGGTGGCCACCAATGTATTTGTTAAAAATGCCCTCTCTGAAAGTAAAAAAAGGACCATCATGGGGGTGAGCAATAGAGAAAACAAGCAGGGTACAAGTGGGGGAATGGTAAAAATGGGGGGGGGGGTAACTAGGGCAGGGGAGGGGGATAAATATGGAAGGAGGGTATAATAAAAGTTGTCTGAAAGCCGGGCGGTGGTGGCGCGCGCCTTTAATCCCAGCACTCGGGAGGCAGAGGCAGGCGGATCTCTGTGAGTTCGAGGCCAGCCTGGGCTACCAAGTGAGTTCCAGGAGGGGCGCAAAGCTACACGGAGAAACCCTGTTTCGAAAAACCAAAAAAAAAAAAAAAAGTTGTCTGAAAAAGTTATAAGGAATTATCTAAGAACACCTACCATACATGTTCAGTCTGTATACATATACATATAGTTGAAATGAAAGAATCCTTTCTAGGCTGACAATGCTCCTTCCAAGAGCTATAGACTAACAAAAATCCCAACACCAGGTATGAGAAGCCCTCTTTTGAGGTGTTGGCCAGTGTTGTCCAAGAAACTACTAAAACATTTGAAGCTACTGATGTTGCCCTTGGTTACCTCTCAGAGGTGGAAGGTAAGCCCCTATGGCTGAAGACACCATGTACTTTGGACACAGGACCTAGAGGTCCTGAGCTAGATTTGATCTGAAAGCCTGCCCCCTGAGAACTAGCTTCCATGGTACCAAGAGGCCTCACACAGACGTCCAGCTCTGATGCCTAGGAAGCCCATCAATGACCAGCTGGCACGATAACCCTCCCTAAGGGTGCAGCAGTGGCACACATGCCTTTGCAGGAACCAACAGCTCTCTAACTGGACTTACGACCTGCTCAGCAAGAGGGAAACCATGCCTGGTACTGGGAACCTAGCTAACTACCCAGGGCTAGAAGTCATAGACCCTGGAGGAGAACCTACAAGCACTCCTTACTGACAGAATCCCTAACTACACTCTACCTCTCCATATATAACCACATATGAGTACAGTTCTCATTTCTCATCAAGGAGAATCTCTTTTAAACAAACAGAGAACATTATTGCAAACTACAACCAACCCCAATCAGACCCACTGACAGCACAACTCCTACACTGAGGCTCAGGGATCACTGTCGAAGAGGGGATAGAAAGACTAAGAGCCAGGAGAACAGGAGTTGGCTGGGAGATGAAGCCTCACCAACATGACTGCCTATAAAAGACCTGAACAAGGATGGCACCAATACCCACACTAACGTGGAGGGGGAGGAAAGCTTAGGAGGCCTCCACCCTAAGCAAAGAACAACAGGCAACTAAGGAGTGCTGAGAGGAAGAGAAAGCGTCTTCCTCAAGGAGAGCACCCCAACTTGGTTATCCAATACGAATGATCAGCCTGAGAACACACGCGTGACAGTAACATATAACCGAGCCCATTATATTTATATACTCAGGAATGAATACACACGTGCACACACACATACACCCACACAAGCATGTACTAAACAACAATTAAAGAAAAAGTAGTCATGAATTTGAGAAAGAATAAGAGGTGGGGTACAAGAGAGAGGATGGAGGAAAGGGGGAAAAGATGTAATTATAATCTCAAAAAATAAAAGTATACTAAAAATTACTAAATAAAATTTAAAAACAAACAACAAACCAAATGCCCTCCCTGGACGGGGCCTAGGAAGCAGCACTCTAACCTGCCATCCAGGTGACCTATGCGCACGCTGGATTTCAGACACCCCTACTTCACAGCCCAACTGCGTCCTATGACACAGTGCTTCTCCACATTATTTGGGGCAGAAGCTCCTCAAATGTTTGCTGAGGAAAGGGACAATGGATGTCTCATTAATGACTGCAATAAGCCTGTGTGACATCTCTGCTCACCTAAGAGGGACAAAAAGTGCAACTATCTGGCCCGAGAAGCTGATGCAAATGACATACTGGTTCATAAAATTGTATACAGGCATAAGCTACAAGGGAATTAGAGTGCTTTAGAACCCAGGAAGAGCTCCCTCACTTCTGAATCCCAAAGCATCACTGAAACAGACTGCAGTAAGATCTGCCTGGACGCCTTAAAGCTTCCGAGAGCGAGGGCACACTACAGTGTGGGCATTCGGTAACTCCACCAGCAGCGTCTCTCTCATGTGGAGAGAAAGCTCTGATGGTGACTGTGGGGCTTTGTAGTAGGAGCACCCCCTCCCCCCCAGCCAAGCCCGGGGCTGTTCTTGCCCAGGTACACTGACAGGATATCCACTTCAGAATGGCACTTTACAATACTCTGGAGATGTGCTAAAGAGATCGTGGGAGGAAACAGGATGGGGACAAAATGCTGACCAGGCTTTCTGGGAGATGACACTTCGACAGCCATGACCAGCATAGAAGACAGACATTCAGGGATGAGACTGCTGAGCCCAGCACAGTCGACCCACACAAGTTTCCCACTTGGTCATCAGCACACAGGACTCCCTTTCTGATCTCCTTCTTCTACTCCTAACTCTCAGTCCATCCTCCAAAGGGCAGTGGGGTGTTTCCAAACACAATGTGTGTAAGCATTCCATGGTTTCTTTCTGCTCTCAACTGACCCTGCACTTCCTACAGAGCCCACCAGTCTGCTCCCAACCCTCTTCCACTCTCAGCTGCCATGCTCCCTCCACTGCCTCCCTGACACACTCAAGGCACAAGCCACTTCCCCTGCCTGTGTCTTCTCCAGCCTCGGTGGCCTCAGGATACAGTGCTCAGCTCAGCAGTGGTCTCCTTAGGTGACTCTGAGCCCTGTGTGTCCCGACAGCTCTTATCACACTCTGGGTCTCTCTTGAGCTCCTCCTCCCTAGAACACAAGTGGCCTGAGGACAGGGAACTGATGACCTGGATGATGCTGCATAAATACCAACTCGTGCAGCTCTTGCGCAGATCAAATGCTTGGGCTTGGATGGGGCAGGGGCTTCCCATTTCAAGGAGCCCCAGGGACACTCTGACTTAAGGAGTGGTCTGAATGACGATGGACTCCATGGCCCCCAGGCTCTCTTCTCTTCATGGCTCCGCATCCATGATCACACCAAAGGGAAAAGCAGCAAGGGGCCCAGCAAGCCAGGATACCTAGTGGGGTGTTGAGGCAGATACACTGCAGGTCAAACCAGTAGCTTTCCACATCCTGCATAGAGTCCAAGACATAGAGACGTCTCTCGAAAGGTCGGCTGCTGTGGGCCAGGTTGTAATGTGGATCACAGATGGTGGTGTCGACAATGACTGCGTTCTTCTTCAGGAAAACGAAGACCTGCAGGAGAGGCCCGTCAGGAGATGAGGCACACAAGCATCAGCACCATGACGCCTGGGGTGGGTTGACAATCAGGCCCGCCTCACTGGGCTGGAAGGCACTACCTGGTCTTTATCCTGGAACTTCTCTGTGGGTCCAAACTGCAGCAGCCCCATGTAGCACAGCCGCTGTAGGTTCTCCACCACCGAGAAAACGTACCGCCTAGAAGAGAGGGCACCTGGTCCCCACCACACACTGCACAGAGCTCCGAGGCCAGAAGAAGGGGTGAGCTGCTGCTCTTCTACCCAGTCAGTCCCCCAGGACCCTGAGGTCCACAGTCACCTTGGGGCTTAATTTGGAAAGTAAACACAACAAGGGGACAGACCCAAACACTCCAGTAGCTGCAGCTCTTTAGCAGTAACTTTTACTTATTAAAATCAAGTAATAAATGTACCAGCTCACGTCTTTGGTGAATCAACTACCGAGAATCTTGAGGCTGTGGAGCCTGCAGACCAAGCCTTTTCTCTTCCCAGGATTGAGTGAACATGAGACCCCACCTTCTGGGATTTATTCTCACCTCTTATACAGGAGCTGCTGTCGGATGTGCCTGGGGAGGAAGCGGATCAGTGTGTGCTTCTTCAGAGGGTCATTTAGAAAATCCTCCAGGTTGTCCACCTACAGAGGCATCTGCAGGTTCAGTTCAGCCACAAGGCTCCCGAGAAAGCACTTAACACTATGACCTCCCCATCTCCAGCTTGGGTCTCTGTATCTCCCCTCCCAGCTGACCCAGCACACAGCAGAGGGCAACAATACATGCTGGGCCTGCAAGGAGGCACACAGCTGCTAAAACCCTTCCAGGAGGCAAGAGGAGCGCTCTCAGCAGGGAAGGATGACTGCTGATCCCGAGCCCAGTGATTTTGCCTAAGGGGAAGTTTCTGGAGGTGTCCACTCACACACCCACCATAACTGCATCAACATTTCATCTGCCAAAGCAAGAACTGGAACCTCAATGCCCCAAGTAGAAAACATTACTTAAATTGTGTCAGTGGAGAGGACATATGAGTATAATCGCAATTTAGTACACACACACACACACACACACCCCTAGAAGAAAATATACCAAAAACATGAGCAGTGAATGACTCTGAGGGATAAGGTTTGAGTTTCTACTCGCTCCTTCTGGACCAAGCTTCTAAAGTGTTTGCTGTTACAGCACACTCATTTATCTTCTGACCTAGCCAATGATAAGCATCCTCAAGTACATATAACTACCCACCCACCCAGCTGATTCCCTCACTTCTAATCTAATCTATGCAGAATAACAAATATTTAAAATGGTTTCCTTTGACTGACCATCTTGCTGCCAACCCATTATCCACTCATCCTTCTCCTCATCCATCACTTGGGCAAACTGGGTCACGTGAGTATGGGCTTCCAGTCCCGCTAGCCCCACATATGACATGGCCCAGTCACAGGTACCTTGTAGCTCACTTGAACAACTTGAACAAAGATGGAGAGGGGCAGGCAGAGAAGAATGTCACTGACGAGAGCCCAGCCAAAGCCAAAGTCCCTGTGGATTGGGATGGGAGGGACGTAGCGCATCCACGAGATTTCATCCACATATACTAGGAAAAAGTCAAGAGTCATCTCCAAGCAGACGGCATGTTCAGGAGAAAGCTGTCTCTCTCTGCCTTCTCCTAGTGCAGGCCTGTGGCTCTCACTTATTTCTGTCTCCCCTTAGACCCCCAGGTGCAGGCCTGTGGCTCTCACTTATTTCTGTCTCCCCTTACACCCCGACCTCCACCCCCAGGTGCAGGCCGGTGGCTCTCACCTATCTCTGTGGAGAGCTCCATTTCTGCCTCCCAGGAGCCGCTTTCTGTGCTGTCTTTGGCTTCCGAGGTGCCCCAGTCATCTCCCGAGGCGGGCTGGGCCCCTGGCCTGCTGGGCTCCTGCTTCCCTGCTTTCCTTTCACTGTGGTAAGTGGGCTGCTCCCCGGTGTGGCCAGCAGGATGCCCGTAGACCAGGTACCACAGGAACAGGTGCATCACCCGAAGGCGGGGCATCTTGGGAAGAAACCCTATGGAGCGCCCCAGTCCAGGAACTATAGGGAGAAAGGTGCGGGCAGTGCTTGAGCAACCCCAGACTGTGTCTGGTCCAGTTCATCCTACAGCTACCATGGGCTACACAGGGTCTAGGTGCAGGGAGGTGACTTATCTACCACTGTGCAGACCAAAGCTGTGACTGTGAAGCTGCTCTTTACCTATGACAGGTTTATAATTTTTGAGCGGGGTTATGCCCATTTTTTCATCCGTCTTTTTCACCCGTCCGCTTTCTGACTTTAAAGATGTGTTCGGTTCAGAGTCTGCTGATCCACTCGGGACCTCTGGCTCACGGCTTTCCTCTTCTGCCTCCTCTTGGGGTGCTGGAGTCTGTGGAACTTTAACCCTGCAGGCCAAACGTGCAGGGTTATATGTTGGAAGCAAAGACAAGACCTATCTCCCAGGCCTGGGGTTTCAGACTCAACTGATCACGGGTCCAGGCAGATGGCACAAGTGAACAGTGTCTAAAACATGGAGGTAATAATGGGGGCCCTCAGAGGTACTCACCAGCAAGAAGGGAAAGGAGCCCAGTGTGCTAGTCTCCTGACACTACACAGATGCCAGCAACCAGGAACATCAAAAAAGCTCGCGGCAAATGGTCAGAAACTGTGACCAACCACTGAGATTCTACCTCCAGGGTGGCCCTCTGCCCACCAGGAACCTAGCCACCTAAAAACTTGCTCCCTCACTGGTGTGCATTCAGCTACTTAGGGTAAGGTGAGCGAGACCTCAGGAAAGCAAGTGCAGTGACTTAGGCCATGATGAGACTGCGCTTCCTACACAGAAGCAGCAATGGGAGGTGCTCCGATTGGCTACACTTCCCGGATGGACAAGCATTAGGGCAGGTGGTGTGGGTCCGTGGGAAAGTGTTGGCCTAGCATATGCAAGGCCTTGGTCCCGTCTCCAGCACCATCCAAAGAAAAGGAAAATGATAAATTAGAGTGAAGAATACTTAAAGTTCAGAACTGGATGCCTCTGGCCAGCAAACCCAGGATCTCATGCAGGTGCACACAAAGCCTTTGGGATGCTGCTCTGCTGGCTGCAGGCTATAACACAGACCTGGGCAGTTTAACTGTGAGTTCTTCCACTTGCCTGTTTGCTGTGCTTGAGTTGGAGATCCGGAAGCGAACCTGCTCAATGGCACTTCTCACAAGAGGGTCATTCTGGTCCATGGATGGGTGCACGACCAGATCCACCTGTAGGGAGAGTTTGGGGTATCCCAGAGGGTAGGGCAGGTTTGAACTGAGGTTCCATAGCAGGATTTCCAACACACTCACAATTCAGAGAGGCAAAAGACAGTTTGCTGTTTCACCCGCAGGAGTCAGACCTCCTTTGGGGACCATGCCACCAAGTCTTGGACCCTAAGTCATTGGTCCTGCAGCTTCCCTGTCCAGGCTGTCACAGCTCACCAGCTCTTCTGATAGCTGGAGCAGCTCCCCACACCTGCTCCACTGAGATTCCGGACTGCACATTAATCAGGAGAGGCGAGCGTGGCAGAAGAGCAGTCTCTTGGCTGTGTGTTGCTAGGACCCTGGCAGTGCACCTCTGAATGACTGGCAGAGGATGTAGGGCTGCTTTGTGATTACCTCTCCCTGGGAATCCAGGCAGAATGGTTACAGTGGTTACTGTTTCTTAAGCTACAGGGCTAAAATCCCGGAAGTGAGTAGCAGGTGTGTACGGAGTCAGGACATTAACTTCAGTACTGGCAGAAGTGGCACAGGTCAGGGAGCAAGACAGGCCATGAATGATGAGACATGATGGACTGGGTACCCCAGGAGAAGCCTGTGCTGTCAGTGCAGAGTGAAGGGCAGCAGCTGTGTGGGGCTGGGACAGGCAGCAGCCCCACCCCACGTCCCAGCTCAACATACTTGCTGGTAAAAAGAAAACCCCACGCCCACCTCTACACTGCATCCACCTATACTACTGACTTCTTTGTGAGACCCAAATGGGAGCCAGTTAGGCAACCTCTCAGAGAAATGACAAGTACTGAGAGATGGCGGCTCCTACTGGCCCCGTTGTCCCAGGCCAGCAGCTAATTCTTCAACAGCCTCAGCTGAAGACTCCATTTCCACTTCTGTGACTGTGTGACCCTAAATACCGACCTGACATCCTCATCCCTCCCCCAGGCTTTGACTGTCACTAGCCCTCTAGACTAGCACTAGAGAAGTCAATCCTGAGGCCAGATAGTCTCCTCAGGCCCCAACTAGGGGAGGGTTTGTTGCCCTCAACAGCAACACCCAGGAAGTCCAACAGAGTAGCTTCTGGAAAACCTGCTGAAGTCATGGATGTCCCTGCTGATGGGGCCTCAATATGTCCTTCAGTGAGACAGGCTGCCACATGACTGTCTGCCACTTCTCAAGTGGATTCATAACAGGCAGTTGTGGAGGAAGGAGCTAGGTCAAGGGGACTTGATGGCTTTATTTTGAAGTGACTTCAGCAGATATAAAAGCCCACGAGTCCCGTCGATATGCAACAGCAAACTATTTCTTAAGTCATTTTTTGGTACTGCTTTCTATAGCTCAATAAAATAAGACACGTGAAAGCAGAAATGACCTTGCCCACTTACGAGGGAAACAAAGTATCAAAGCAGGGCTCCTTTACAGCCGAGATGGAAAATCCAGTCAGGAATTAAGGGGCTGTGAAGACAGCCCCATTGCTTTCAGCCTCATGTCCAGCTGTGCCATCCCAATTACTCTGACCCTGAAAAATTGATGCTGTAAAATGTGTGCAAAGCTGCTGAGCTACAGTTACTATGGCAACAGCTCCCATCACAGTACTACAGAATAGACTGGCCCCACAGACTGGCCACCTCCCTTCCAATGTCTTTGTGGAGAAAGTTCTTGCATTGCTAACACTGTCCTGCTTAACAGGCTCTCCAGGCTGGGCCAATGCACTCCTCTAGTGCTCAGGTGGTTGCTCCCAGCAGCCACAGGAAGTTGGTAAGAGCCTTGCCCTCCAGATTAAGAGGTGTAATGTGATGTCCCAATCACTAACAGCAAAGGATCAATCCAGATGCCACAATGACAAGGGACACTGGGCCAGAATGTTTCCCACAGCACGAGGCTGGCTCTGTGGGCATCCGGAGAGGCCCAAGAGATTACCTTCTTCTTGATGCCATCCTGAATGACCGTAGTCCGATACAATCTCAAGAGACCCTCCTCAGACAGGTTCCGAACCAAGCGGATAATGGACTTCTTACAGCACTTGGTGGAGACACCCTCTTGCTTTTCCTGGTCCATGATCATCTTCTGAATCCTGGAAATCAGAGAAGAACACATTCCCACTTCAACACAGAGGCATAGAGGAACCACAACAGGTCTGTCTGGCACAGGGAAACTCTGCAGGAGCTCTTCACACCTACATATGGGGGCCTCTTGGAACACGAAATACCATCTTTCTTGAGTAAACAAATTAGCGGAAGACAGGCCACTACCCACAGCAGCTCTACAGCACTAGAAATCACGTGATCTGACAATAAACAGGAACAAGGGGGGGGAAACAGTGCTAGGAAGGAGACCTGTCTTCCCCAGGTCTGCATGCTTCCTGTTCCTTGGTCTGAACTCTTCTTCACTCTTCCATCTTCTGATTCACTGTGACATTTCTAGATCATTAACCACAGAAGAGGAAGGCCAATGTGGACATCAGGACACCCAGACAAACTCCTCAGGGCACAGAAGGGACCAAGGTGAAGATGTATCTAAGGTGGCCCCTGCCCTCACAGTCAGCCTGAGACAGAGTGAAGAACCCACATCTGTGACTGCAGGGTGAGGCCCTTCAGCCCAATGGTTCCCCCACTGGTCTCAGAGCCCTGAAGGTGCTGCCCCAGAGTGGTAGCCTCAAGAGCTGCACAGAGCAGACCAGCAGCTTAGCTCCTCTTCCTCCTGTGCCTCTTCCGCACCACTGCCGGAGGTGTCTTCGTTTCCCTTCCCTCTAACAATTCCCCAGTGTCAGGGTTTGACTCAGCCATGTTGCCTATAACTCATGGGTTCAAAGGCTGGGACCCAGAAGATGGTGATCCTGGGAGGTTCTGGAAGGTGAGGTCTGGCCACTGGAGACAGACCTTGCCCTCTCTCTGCCTCTTGGCTGTCATGAGGTGAAGAAGCTCTCTGGCTACAGTCTTGTCACTACACACATGGAGCCGGGAGACCATGGAGAACCCAGGAACCCAAATAAATCCTCACTCAAGTTACTCCCTCACAAACCTGTCAGAGCTACCGGTAAGGAGAAAAGTCAGCACGGGCTCTGTGACATCTAGCATTTTAATTCACAAGATCTACCTTTCCCAATGACAGGTACCAAATCTACATCCTACTGACCACAACGGGACACCATAAAATGCACATGGGAACCAGGCAGCAGCTCCAAGGCCTTTCAGTCCCTTCTGTGGCTGGTTAGAGGGGTAGTCACAGACAGACACCAGCACACTCACGTGAACAGGCTCTCAATCAGTCGGAGGTTGGTGACAGCTTCTATGATCAGATTCCTGCGCTTCAGCAGCCGGTATGTTTTGTGAGGCTTGTCCTGGCCTGGGCCATGCCGTCCGGCTTTCTGGGAGCCACCACTTTCCTACGTCAGAAACCCAAGAGCAGGGGTCAGAAGAGTAGGACCAGACAGACACCATTCCTGAGGGGCACACTCCCCTTTCAAGGAAGTCAAGTCCTGTTACTCAAGGAGAGTCCACCAGGCCTGCACCCTCATTACTGCTCTAGTGCCCCCCAAGAGGAAAGCAGGGCTGGAGAGGCACACAGAAGGAATGTGCAAGTGCATGCGCGCTGGGACAAGGCTTCTGACTCTACAACCAGGATGGGAAGTGAAAAGGAAGGGGGACAGGAGTCTGTGCTTCTCCCCTCACCCTGACCAAGGGCCCGCTTCATTCTTTCTTTTTTCTCTTTAAGGTTTATTTATTAAGTGTATGCGTGTGTCGGCTGCATATGTACAATGCCCACGGAGGCCAGAAGAAGGGGTAGAATCCTCTGGAGCTAGAATTGCAGGCAGTTGTAAGCTGCCCACTATAGGTGCTGTGAAATGAACCCAGGACTTTTGGAAGAACAGCAAGGACTTTTAACTGCTGACTCATCTTTTCACCCATAACTTTCAATTTTTTAAAAGATCTTATCAATTTTTATTTTATGTCTGAGTGTTTGCATTCCTGTATGTCTGTGCACCACATGTACGCAGTACCAAAGGAGGTCAGAAGAGGACATTAGATCCCCTGCGACTGGAGCCACAGACGGCTGGAAGCTGCCACAGGAGTACTAAGATTCAAATCTAAGTTCTCTGCCAAGAGCAGCCAGTACTCTTAACAATGAACCATTTCTCCACCCCTCACGGCACCTCACTTCCATTCTTCAAGTCTTCCTATCTTCTAGGAGCTTAACATGCAGTGGGGTCTTTACAGCACATGCGGTAAGGCCTGACTATGAATCCGGAATGGAAAAAGAATACCTGTTGACATCATGCGGTAGCCACAGGCATGTTTGGCTGGAGGGCTATGGCTTGGAGCAGTACTTTTGGGGAATGGGAATACATCCCAGGAAGCTACAAGTTGATGCTGGGGTGACAGTATGAGAACAGCTGAGCCTAGATGGCTCCCTTGCCTACCACAGGCGCTCCAGGCCAGGCAGGGTTCTCTCATATTTAGGGAGGGAAGTCTCGAGGATTTCTGAAAAGTCCTAAGAGTGGCAGCCTATTGTCTGTCATGTTTCAGAGCAACATTCTAGAAGAAACCATCCCGAGTAACTGGAGGCTGGAGAAGCAGAGCTGGGCTCTGCCAAAAACCTCCAGAGAGCCATGGATATAGAATGAAGTGGGTTTTTATCAGAAAAAGCAGTGGTAGGAGAGAACACAGAACTCTGGCCTGGGAGGAAGGCCTGCTGTATCAGGATTAGAGGACCTAAAAAGAAGGTCTCAGCAGGCATCTGGCAACAGTAGAGTGTGGACAGAGTCTAGACTACCATCACCCAGTGCCTGTCAATTCTGCACTAGGGCTGTGCTCAAGGCACAGGCTGCTGCTATTCCAGCACAGGAGAACGGAAGCTGACAAGGTCCCCATCCTGTCCTCCTCTCGGCAGCCCAGTTTTCCACCCCATGACATTGCCTTTCATCCTCACAGACCAGACTCCACATTTCTCCTCTTGGGCTGTCAAGTCTGAATAACAGCAGCAAGAGCCAACTGGCCACAGATCCGGTCCACACCAGGAACCAGATCCTCTACTCTGTTTCCAAAGCAATGGCAGAATCTGAGGCATCTTCAGGCGACAAGGGACATGGCATGGTGAAAAGTAACTGAATCATGTAATAAGCAGGGGTTTCCTGTAACAACTGTCCTTTGTTTTTTTATTTTTGGTTTTTCGAGACAAGGTTTCTTTGTGTAACAGCCTTGGCTGTCCTCGAACTCAGAGATCCACCTGCCTCTGCCTTCCAAGTGCTGGGATTAACGGCATTTGCCACCACCGCCCAGCCTGTAATACACTTATGGAAAAGTATGGGTTTGACTCTGTGGTGTCAATGGTACTTGGACAGGTGACATCTAGCCAGAAGGTACTGGTACAATTTTTTTTTTCTTTCCATTTTATACCAAGTGATACTGGCCTTGCGTTGAAAGCAGGCTCTCAACTTTGGTTGTGGCCATTCTAAGTTACATGACATTGCTTCAAGGATGTCTTGAAGCTAAGGGCATGGCTCAGTGGCACAACACTTGCCTAGCATGCAAAAAGCCCTGGGCTCTACCTCCAGCCCCAAAATATAAAGAAAAATTTAAATGCAATTTAACTAAACACAGTGGCACCCGTCTGTAGTCTCAAGTACCAGGAGGCTGAGGCAGGAGTACTGCTTAAGCTTAGGAGCTGGAGGACAGCTGGGCAACAGTGAGGTCCTACCTCAAAATAACAACAACAAAGCATGCTGCCCTCCACCTACTCAAGGCCATCAACACATCTCTTCTGACGTGTGATAATCTAAAAGGTCCAAGCACTACCAACTGTCTTCTAAGAGGCAATACTGACTATGTAAATCAACCACACCAACTCTCCCCTCTGAACTCAAGTGAAAAGACCACCTTGTCAGAGGTGATGGGAGTTCTGGGCCCAGCATGGGGCAGAGGCAGCAAATGACACTCTGTCACTCCCTGTGGAGCTAGTCACCACTTGGCCCACAGCCTGTGCCTAGCAGGTGACATTCTTATTGCTATCGCCTGTTCCTGTCCCTGGGATTCAAGCCCAGCACCAGAAGACTGGAGTCCACCTGCCCTAAGTCCCTATGGCCACTACTGACCTTGGGGTTATCGAGGCGGACCTCCTCAATCACAGCGATGTCTCCACTGTGACTCTCCATGTTGTTAGGGTCAAAGGATGTGTTGAGCTCAGAGGAGCTGCTGGTGTTCAGGCCTTCCCTACCAGCCGAGCTTCGGCGGGCTCTTCCCTCAGCGCCGCCATGGGAGGCAGCCTTCGGCTTCTTCAGTGGGTGCAGGTTTAGGACTTTCCACCCACCTGTAATGAGAGTGGGCACAGCTGGTCAGGAGAAAACAAGAAAAGGCTTCTCTGCTTGACAGCCAGGGCAGGCTAGTCCGGGGGACTTCCTCAGGCTTTGTATCTAGGGATACAAAGCTGAACATGAAATTCACAAGTCTATCACCTGCCCACCTTCCATACATGTTTTAAAACAGGATTAAGCCATCCAAGGTAATGTACACTTGCAATCCCAGCACTCAGGAGGCTGAGGCAGGAAGGAGGCGTTCAAAGTGGGTTGCAGTGAAGTCCAGTCTCAAACGAGAAAACAATTCACTAGGTTGTAAAAACTCAACTGGGAGAACATTAGACAGAACATCCCTGCCTCCATAGTAGGTTCTATAAACTAAACCCTGAGTGGTTCTTGAATGGACTGAGGGGAGGAATGAAGCTCACGGAACTCTGCCTCTTTAATAGTAAAACATGCTGTAAGAAAGGTGTTACTCAAGGAGACTACAAGTAACCAGGGCGGGGCACATAACATGACTGTCCTCTCCACACCTACAGTAATGGTGTGAAAAGGACGCTTCTGGGCCCCAAAGCAGGATAGCACTTAGGGGATCTCCAGGATGGCTAAGCTGAACAACTGCTTCCTGACGCTTGGCCCTGCTGGCCCATACTCATCAAGCAGTCCTCACCCTTGGCTGGAGTGGAGTGATGAGGCTGAGAGCCAGCATTCCCTGAGGCTCTTGACTGGCCCCGGGACCCTCGGCCCTTCCGCTTGCCACTGCAGCTGCTCTCCTCCTCACTTTCTGAGTCAGAGAGGAAGGCCTCTTCACCCTCGGGCATGAGGGACTCATCCTGCACTGAGGCTAGGCTCACAGTGGTCAGCAGCTCTCCTCGGGCCTTTTCGCGTGCATATTGGCGGCTCAGGTCACTCTCCTCCGCAAACACGCAGGAAATGTACTTGGTGGTCCGCTGCCGGCCTTCATCTTCCATGAATCCCTAGGGTAATCACATGTGTTAGCGCATTCCAGGGGGTGTTGATGCCTATAGGTGTGCCAGTGGTTCCTGTCTCATAATGCCTTCCTGTCAGGACCTGCCATGTTAGGCCTACACATGATCTGGACTGTGTCTGTTCTCTGAAGCTAGAAGCCCCTTGGAGACAGGGCCTTGATTTGTTCTTACCATGCACCCTCCGTGCCTGACACTAGACCTGGCTCATAAACAATCAGGAATCAGCTTGTGCTGGTTACACAGAACCCAGGGGCCCATACGCTGCAAACAGCCACAGCCTTGGAGACCTGTGGTTTGGTTTATGGCTAATCCATGATCATCTTGCCTTCTAAAATGGGAAAGGGCTTGTCCCACGGCCTGTAGTGGGAGAAAAGTAAAGATCTTCTATGCATCCCTTCACATGCAAGGGATGATGCCAAGGCCCCAGTTATACTTAGCTTAACTAATAAAACCCTGTCTATGGCAAAATGTCCACAGTAGCCCACCAGAGGGTCTGGATAAGTATCCTCTAAAACCTGTGAGCCGAAGTTTAGTTCCCAGGGTGGTACTATTGGGAAGTGGCAGACCCTTGAGGAGGTGGGAGTCTAACAGGAAGTCCCTGGTCACAGGAGAGTGCTCCCAAAGGAGTGTGCCTCCCCCCACCTCCCACCTGACCATTTTGTCTTCCGTCTGACTCAGGAGATGAGTTTACTCTACCAACACGTTCCTGTGATGAGGCTCCTGCTGTCTCATTAGAGGTCCAAAGCAGTGAGAACCACTTGATTTTGGATTAGATCTCTAGAACAGGCCTAACAACCCTCCTCTGTATAATGAACTGCCTCAGCTACTTCACTCCAGTTACAGGGAGCTAACTAACACCAGCCTCAGGAGCCGACACAGCTGTGAATTACAAAAGGGGACACCAGGCCTACAGTCAGCTGCTGTGATGTTTCCAGGTGCCGCACGTCCCACCGGAGAGGCCCGGCAGCTCATTAGACACTAGCCAGCTCCAGCCGACTGTCCTCACCCAGGAGTGAGCTGCAAGGGCAGCTGCAGGAATGTCACTCCAGCGCTTCCATTTGAAGAAGCAGAACCAGACAATGCTCCGCGAGGGGAAGGCCTAGCATGTTAGCCCCATCTAGGTACTACCTCACGGACAGTTAGGCACCTGCTTCTCTGATGTATAATCTCACTGGCACTGAGATGAGGCACTGTAGGATGACAGGATGTTACCTTGACAACCTTGAACCTCTGAAGGAGCCGACACAGCATTCTCGCTTCCAGCTTTCCCACGTTCATAGCAACTCGGATCTCAGCCTGGGAAATTCCTTTCGTGCCTCTGCGCTCAACTGTGAACAACACCATATTGAACCCCACCGCTGCACAGGGCAGCTGTTCCCAGCCACTTCCCTGCTCCCTCGCTAAGCCAGACACAGAAAGCACTTCCTCCTCTCCTCCAAGGAGGGATCCACCGCTGCAGGCTGAACAGCACTCCGTGACCCCGAGAACACCAGCAGCTCATGTTGTGTCTGCTCTCGGGTTCTCCATGCTGAAACACTGAAGGGAACAGTGGCTATATTCAAATGGAGGAGGACCTATTAAGGTCTCAAACTTACCTCCATCACTCCCCCCTCCGCCCCCCACAAGACAGGGTTTCTCTGTGTAGTTTTGGTTCCTGCTCTGGATCTCACTCTGTGGACCAGGCTGACCTCGAACTCACAGAGATCCACCTGCCTCCTGAGTGCTGGGATTAAAGGCGTGTGCCGCTGTCGCCTGGTCAATTTTTTTTTTCTTTTTTGATGCTTTTTGAAAGGGTCAGTTTCATTTATCTGAGTAAGTTCATTTGTAAGGGAAAGCTAATTTCCTGCTGCGGCTTAAAAGTAATCCAGGACAGGCACCAAAATTACACAGGAAAACCCTGTTTCGAACCCCCCCCCCAAAAAAAAGCATCAAAATAACTTTTTTTTTGCTACCCTTGAACAGGTGATCATCTTGTCTTGGCTCCCAGGTACATGTGTGCCTATGTCTAGGTCCCGAAAACTTTCTCTCTGAATGTGCATTTTCTATGCTCCTGTGGAGACCAACAACTGTTCCTTTTCTCACAGCCAGGCCAGCAGGAAGGGGGGGAACAAATGATGGCAGCAGCTCCACAGAGAACCAGGAGAAGTTGCTGCCCGTTTTTGGCACCGTACAGTCTGCCGTTTCTGCCCTGCAGCTCATGCCCGCTACTCAGCATCGGCATGGACCCGCCTTTCACAGGCCCTCCCTTTCTAAATGCTCTGGACTGAACACTGCAGGGAGGAACTTGGTTGGAGGCTGCTACATGAACTGGAGGCAGATGATGGCAAAGCTCTTTGTCCGGAAAACACTGCCCTTTCTTTTTAATGTGTCCACACACTTGAGGCTGCCAGGCAAAAATCAATCAGGATGCAGGCTTTCTACATCAGCCACACACAAAGATGACCAGAATGAGAGGAGATGGCTGAGACGGTCCCCTCTACTCAACAGTGGGGACAAGAGGTCTATAGTCAGCGTCATGAGGAAGCAATCTGGGCCACCTGAGAACTGTCAATCAACTAGCCTTCAGAAAGCCTGGGAGATCAGCCAGCATGACCTGCTGGTGGAGGCTAAGATGGAACCACTTCAGAAGGCAATCGTGGCTCCAGAACCTGCATAACAGAACAGCACAGAGGTTGAGTTCTGTCACTTCCTCCCTGGAGCAGCACCAGGGTAGAGGCCTCCACTTTGCAGACAGTTCTTGTTCTCCATTGGGCTGGTCTAGAAGCAGCATGTGGTGCCCTCCACAGGTCTGCTAACCCTCTGCTTTTCTAACTTCTGCAGCAGCACAGGCCACCACCAGGAACAGCAAATACCAGCGCCTAACCTGAACTCATCAGCCCCTAGAGCTACAATAAAGATTCTTGTCTTTAAAAACTGCCTGCTCTTGGGTGCTTTGTTATAGTATAAGAAAACAGACTAAGAACCGCTAGCTAAGCTTCCTGAGTGTTTCTGTGGGGGGCACTGTTGTAGGTCATTTACTCCTCCACCTTTTACCTGAGAATGTGCTCACATGGGTTTTATCTCAACGTGATGATTAACTTTAAGTAGATTTAATGGTCAAACACTATTCTTGGAATGGGTCCATGAGGGTATTTATTTCTGGAGGAAAGCAGCCTATGAATAGTTAAAGGGTGACATGGGGGAAGATATGCCCAAATATGGGTGACATCATATCATCAACTAGGCGCCCCGTGAGAACAAACCAAAACAAACCAGAACAGAAGGCAGAGGCAATGACGACTCACTTCTCTCTCCACTTCCTACCTCCCTGGGTCAGGAGCAGCCCCTCCTCTGGCTCTGGATCATGAAAATCCATGGGTTCTCTAGTGGTTCCCCTGGGTCTTCCACTTGTGCCAGCTATGGTAGGCCTCAATGTCCACGTCACATGAAACAATCCCCTGATAAACCCTCATAGACACGGTTACCCTCAGTCTATTGGTGCATCTCTAGAGAACTCTGTTGTCCAAACACACCCCATTTCACAGACAGGGGAAACAAGGCTCAAAGGCCTAGTTAAAGTCATTTATCAAGGAAGCAGCAAGGCTCCACCCTGAACCTGATCCAAAGCCGAAGCTTGGAGAGAAGCCTGCAGCCTCCTAGGCTTTATGTACTGGAGCCCCATTTCCCACCTGGGGAGCACATTTCCTACTCCAGTGCTCACACAAAGGCAAGTGTGTGAACAGGACTCACTGAGCTCGTAGGTCTGTGTGAGCATGTCTCGCTCAAAAACGATGTCCACAGGAGGCACACCCTTAGAGATGACCTCCTCATCGTCATCATCGTCATGGTCGTCCTCCATCTTCCGCTTGAACTCCTTCAGTAGCTTAAGGCACCGAACCATGACATCAGTCCCTAGGAAGAGGGCACACATTAGCAGACAGCAGGCACAGGGCCTCATGGGAGAGCAGTAGATGACATCCTGAAAGGTCACAGATGACCTGGTATCACAGCACGTTTCTTCCCTATGTGGTGTGTTTGCAAAGTCTAAAACTACTAATCTTGGGGCTGGAGAGATGGCTTGGTGGTTAAGAACACTTGCTCTTACAGAGGACCTGGGCTCGGTTTCTGACATCAAAAGCGCTTAACTGCCTGGATCTAGCTCCAGCTGCAGGGCATCCAATGATCTTCTAGTCTCCAGGGAATCTACACACTTGTGGCACATGTCCACACATACACATGATTAAAGTGAAAATTAATATAAACAAAATGAATATAAATTTAGAAAAAAACAAACAAACAAAAATACCCGCTACCCTTAGGGACAAGACTATTGTGTCTTGTTAACTTTAGAGCAGAAGAAATATGTGTAAAAGGAGCAGAGAGGCACACTGACAGCCTCCCTGGAGGACATGGCCTATCCCTTCAAACAATATTCCGGGACCCACATTTGGGATCTGAAGAAATGAAGAACAATTTTTCTTTAAATTCAACAAGAGGCCCTTCTGGAACTCTGAGGGTGGGAACTTAGCTTACAAAAATAACTCAAAAAGAGGCCAAGGCAAACAGGACAAACGGGTCTGAGCTAGCACCCTTTATGATGCTAGCCCCAGTGATAAGTATAGACAAGGTGGGGCCCAGCTGCAACATAAGCCATGCTCTGGGCTCTGAGGGAAATTTGCATCTAAATTCAGATAGCCTACTGCAACCTAGCATATCAGGGAAAACCCCACATTTATGCCCAATGAAAAGGACAACAAAGAAGGTAAACAATGAAGATGCCTGGTACAGACATGTGCCAACTCACTGATCCCTTATGCATACGGGAACTGAAGCATGGAAGGGTTGGGTCACCAGCCCAAGCTCCCACTGCCTTGCCAATGACAGGAGCAAGCTACTCTGTCAGATTTCTTCAAGTAAAAGGAAAGAGTCAAGGGTGAGCAGGGCAAATGCCATGTGAGTTCAGAGTGACACCCACCCTAGTGAATGAACTCTGGGAAATTTATCAGTAAGCCCTAGCACAACTGGAGGAGGTGACAGCCTTCGGTGACTGCAAAGAGGCCTGACCCAAATCCGGAAGCCGGAGGGTGGTGGGGAACAACACCCTGATAGGTAGGAAGCCTCCTCTGCCAGCTCTACTCTTTGACTAAGTGATATGTTCTCTCTGTGCCACAGTTTCCTCAGCTGTAAAACCGAGAAAAGAATAGCATCGGGGGAGCCAGATGGATCAGTGGACAGAGGTGCTTGTATGCAGGCCTGATGATTTGAGCTTGAGCCTCAGATTTCCTGTCCAAGTGGTAAAACATGCCTACAGTGACAGAAGATAGGAGGCTGTGGGAAGATGGAAGTCCACGGCCATTCTGGGCTGCAGTAGCAAGGCTTTTTCTCAAAGAAAAACAGTCTTCCTAACCGATGCCCGCTCAGGAGACACTCACTGCTGCTTCTCTCCTTACTATCACCCTTGAAGGGCACAGCTGCTGAGGGCCCAACAGCACACCCAGCTGGATTGCTGGGACCTTAATTTCAATCAGATTCCACAAACATTTCTTCTGTGCTGTGTCCTGAACAGACACACACCAGACAGGTTTCCTCCACTGTAAAAAGAGACACAATGAGTCTGGGCAAGGCAGCTGGAGGACACTGGGCTTGCCGTGACACAGCCCAGGCTGACAATCTGGTTCTGCCTACCACAGGGAAGCCCCTTTTCTCTCTGAGCCTCGAGTTTCTCAGCCCTCAAGCAGAGCTAATTCTAAATGCATCTTAAATGGACTGAGCACTTTGTGGGGGAGGCTTGGAGATGAGTTAGGAGGTAGGGCGGAACAGATGTCTACCCACTGCATGGGACAATGAAGGATGAATGGGGTGGTCTGATCTGGCCATGGAGGACAGGCATTGAGGCAGTGAGGTAAAGAAGGGGAAGAAATGAAGACTGCACTCAACAGCAAGGCAGGCTGCAGAGGGATGTCTGTATGCCAGGCAAGTGACGTTGTGTTTATTTTGTAAGCAAGCTGTTTGGGGCTGTGGCGAATGTGGCCAGTGGCTTGATGGGAGGCCAGCAGGGAGTAGGATCTACAGACGCTGGGGCCCTGGCACCTCTCTTCAGCACAGGCCCAGGCTCACACACTTCCCTTTCCTCACGAACCCTGCTCAGCCTCTTAACAGTGATGGCATAAGGGACTGAGAGACCAATCATTGCGGACTCTGTCCACTCATTCTCTGCTCAAATCCCTGCACCAGCACCACCCCTCCTGATGACCTGAGCAATAAGCCACGCTCCCCATTTTCTTGGCAACGAAGAAAAAGAATAAAGAGATTAGGAATATTAGAGAAAAAGTAACTCAGAACAGTGCCTAGCATATTATCTGGATACTCCTTCCCCTGCAAGGCTGATCCCCAAATGAGACAATAGTAGTACTGTCTTGTCTGGTTTCCTCTTTTAAAAGGCCAGGACAAGCCCAAGGACAGGCTCTTCTTACTGCCCAAGGAAACAAGAGTACTAGTAACAACACACACGGGAGCTTAACAAAGGTTTAGAAACTATCACTGTTGTTAGGTTAGAATTTCAGAGTCACCATCAAATACCCAGTGCAAATATCACCTCCCCAAATATTTGGTCTGAGTTAGCACCGGGCACAATTAGGTCCCCTCGGTCCTAAAGTATAGAGGAGTGTGGGAAAGGCTGCTGGAGCTGCGGTGCTGAAAACATCACCAGGAAGCCCCTGAGGGCCTGGAGCCTGGCACTGCTCAGGAAGCTAACATGATTCAGTTGAGGCATGTTCCAGCCATGTTCACAGCCTCTACCTGCCCTGTTACCAGGCTGGCCATCTGATATAGGCAGCTATGCGACCATGAAGTGTCCAGGCTCAATCTCCATCCCAAGCAATCAGCTGGCTGTACCCTAGGAAGGGACACAGGCAAAGCCCTCCTTCCACACAGGGCCAGCCAATGGTGCAGAAAGTGCTGTTTGCCACCATCACTGTTGACACCAGCCCCCGCATTCCCGCTGAGCCCTACATAGCTGCCACCTCTGGAGAAGGGACAAGGGCCGCTCCAAGAGGCACTGCCCTAGCCCCTATGCAAGTGACTCAAGTCTAGGTGTTTACACCCTGGTAAAGGTCAGCCCTCACCCAAGTTTTCCCTTTAATAGCTTCTGCCATATTAAAATGTCCCTGCTTCTTTTATGTACATTAATTATTGACAGTGTTACTTTTAATTCTTATAGCTGGTGTCCTTTAATCACTTTTATTTAAATAAAACTGCTTCCTTTTAAACCGTTTTCATCATCTTCGAAATACATCACTAGAGTTCTAGCTTTTAAAACATGTGACAGCTCTGACTCTTTGTTTTCATGTTTATGCTTACTTTTTATCCTGTTTTTCTGGTCTTTATTCTTTTCTTATTCTTCTTGGCTTTGATTCTTTAGGCCTGAATATTTATTTTATTGCATTTTTTTATTTCTTTATATGGTTCATTTCTCTCCTAGGTTGTATACTTTAATCCCACTATAATTTTGTTAATATCCCCTTTCTTAATGGTCATGATTTACTTTGCTGTACCGTGTTATATTTCTTTTTTTTTTTTTTGGTTTTTCGAGACAGGGTTTCTCTGAGTAGCTTTGCGCCTTTCCTAGAACTCACTTGGTAGCCCAGGCTGGCCTTGAACTCACAGAGATCCGCCTGCCTCTGCCTCCCGAGTGCTGGGATTAAAGGTGTGCGCCACCACCGCCCGGCCCGTGTTATATTTCTTGATTTAGGTTTTACTTATTTCAAATTTAACAGCTTGAATGAGATTTAATTCATATATTGTATAATCTACCCCTTCAGTGGGTACAAGTCACAGCCCATGTATTAAATACTAGCCAACTTTAGAAAAGTTTTAATCATCTCCACTCCTATACCCGAGCTGTCTTCAAAGCATTCACAGTTCACTTCCAGATTGTCCCACTGGACTTTCCTACAGGTGGAGTCACATGAAAGGCCACCGTGGCGGCCGCTCTTTCTTCACCTGTCTTACCGAGAACCAACTGAGCCACCACACAGGGGCTTCTGGGTGCTGCTGACCAACTCACTGACCTGCATGCCCTCTGTGCCACGTCTGCCACTGTCTGAGTTCTGTTGCTGTGCAGCAGGGTTTGAAAGTAAAATGAGTTCAGCTTTCTGGGTTCCTTGCACTTAGATAGAGATTTCAGAATCAGACCCTCAACGCCCACAAGTCCGGAATCAGACATGGACTGTGCTGAATCAGATCAATCAGGGGAGTCTTACGATGTTAGCTGGCTTGATCCATTTCTGTTTACATAGACCTTAAATTTCAGCAGTGTTTTGTAGTTTTCACAGTAACTGATCTGCACATATTTTGTTAAATTTGTTCCAAGTTACTGCAAACAGAATTGCTTTCTCAGTTCAACTTTTAGATTCTCCACTTTAAGTATTGAAACCCAGGAGTGGGGATGCATATTGAGGTTAGTGTCTGCGGAACTGTTTATTTCTTAAGAGTCACAAGGACATCAGATCAGGAGGAGGACTCAATCCCAATCCCTGTCAGAAGTGGAAGTGAGCTGACTACCTTAGTCATCATCCCAGATCATGCAGAGGTGTTCTGCCAAGTGCTTCCAACTGTGATCCTGTTGGAAGGGATTGCCAAATTCACTTCTCTCTTTTTCCTTCATTTTCTCAGCACAATTTAATAAACACATGGTGTTTTAAATACTTGAGGAAAATAATTTTGTAAATCAGAGCAGTTCTGGGCAGCTGCTTTCGTTACAAAGTTTATTTTGCTTTTGCCAAATAGATATGGCAAAGTGTGAGTATAAAATATGCCTAAATCCAAACTGTTTAAGGGGTTTAAAAACAATTCATATATACCCAGACATGCCTATACATTTACATGAAGTAATACGTCATCTTTATTTATTA